ACTCCAGTCTGGGCGACAGAGTGAGACTCCAACTCAAAAAAAAAACCAAAAAAACAAAAAAACAGGAAAACCTTAATAGAAAATCATGGCATGAGAAAGGTGTGTGTAAAAATGGTCCCGAAGGAGCTCTTGCATCATGACAATGCACCAGCTCACATGGCGCCATCTGTGAGGGAGATTTTAGCCAGTAAACAAATAACTGTATTGGAACATCCTCCTTACCAGCCCCCAATGACTTTTTTTTTTCCTTTCCTTTATGAGTTGGAGTCTCACTCTGTCACTCAGACTGGAGTGCAGTGGCCGCTCCTGGCCACCGCAGCCTCGACCTGCTGGGCTCCAGCAATACTTCCGCCTCAGCCTTCCAAGTAGTGGAACTACAGGCGTGCGCTACCACGTCCGGCTAATTTTTGATTTATTGTAGAGATGAGGTCTTGCCAAGTTGCCCAGGAGGGTCTCAAACTCACGGGCTCAGGCAATCCACTCACCTCGGCCTCCCAAAGGTGCGGGATTACAGGCTGAGCCATCGAGCCCGGCTGACTTTTTTCTTTACCCAGAGGAAATACTGAAAGGAAGTCATCTTGATGACACTGAGGACATCAAGGGTAGTATGACGACAGCTCTGATGGCCATTTCAGAAAGTTCCAAAATTGCTCTGATGGGTGAACTAGGTGCTGGCGTCGGTGCACAGCTTCCCAAAGGGAGTACTTAGGTGACTGTAGTGATATTCAGCAGTGAGGTATGTAGCACTTTTTAAAGGATGAGTTCACGAACTTAATTGTCATACCTTGTATTCTGGACTAATGACATGCTGTAGAGATGTTGAATTCTAAAATGTTGCTGAAAAATTTTTTTTCCACGCAAGCAAGCAGATAGCTTGGCTAGACTCACATTGCAAACTGTCTGACTAGTAGTTGGAAGCAGCTCAATTCTTTTAGCCTTTGCAGCCCAGGCATATGTGTAGTATAGGAACTAGGGGAAGGTTGGACACAGGGTATACACAGTATTTGAGGCTTATTCTATTTTGGGGGGATAATCCCAGAAAACCCTACCTTCCAGGGGCAGTGGTCAATCCAACCTCTGCTACCTTGTTCTTCAAGCTAGAGAAGCAGCACATTTCTGAGTTTTAGCTACTTTGCTTGGTACAGACTAGGACTTGCCCTCAGGCTAAAAATCATACTAATATGGAATTCACTGTTTTATTTTCTGTATCCAAGTGTCACCTACTTTCCCATATTTTGTTGCTCCCTAGCAGCTTCAGGTAGTATTTTACATTTTTTCCAGAGTTTTATAGTTACTGTCTGTGGGTAGAATGGTCTGGTAGGAGCTACTTGGCTATTACCAGAAGCAGAGCACTCTGTTACTAAGTCTTGACATCAGTATACATCCTTTTAACTTCCATCCAAAACAAGATATAAAGCATTTTCCTCCCTACCAAAAATGTCTCTGTGCTCCTTCTCAGTCACTGTCTCCTTCCAATTCCTCATTTCTGTAACGAGAGAGTAGTTCTGTCTGAATTTGGTTTTTCACGCAGGTGGAGTTATACCACATATAGTCTTTTGTGTCCAGCTTCTTCCATTCAGCATAATGCTACTGAGATGCTAACCAGGTTGTTGTGTCAGTGGTTCTTTTTATTTTTATTTTTTTGAGTCAGAGTCTCATTGTCGCCCAGGTTGGAGTGGCATGCTCAAAGTCACCACAGCTTCGACCTGCTTGGCTCAGGCAATCCTTCCACCTCAGTCTTCCAAGTAGCTGGAACCACCCACACACACTGCCACGTCCAACTGATTTTTTGATTCATTGTAGAGACAAGGGCCTACCAAGTTGTCCAGGCTGGTTTGGAACTCCTGGACTCAGGCAATCCTCTCACCTCTGCCTCCCAAAGTGCTGGGATTACAGGTGTGAGATGCATTCTTATTTTTAAAAATAAAAGTAGAAAGTTTACTTGAGTCAAGTTTGAGGTCTGCCTCCCAGAAGCATAGATTCAAGTTGTCCTGAATATATACTCGCTCTTTGTTTTTTTATTACTGGAATAGCATTCCATTATATCAAAAAATATACAATGTGTATATCCATTTTCCTGTTAAGAAACACTGGGTCACCAGTCGGGCTCGGTGGCTCAGCCTGTAACCCCGCGCCTTGGGAAGCTGAGGTGAGTGGATTGCCTGAGCCCACGGGTTCGAGACCCATCTGGGCAACTTGGTGAGAGCTCATCTCTATAAATCAAAAAATTAGCCGGATGTGGTAGTGTGCACCTGTAGTTCCAGCTACTTGGAAGGCTGAGGCGGAAGGATCGCTGGAGCCCAACAGGTCGAGGCTGCGGTGGCCAGGAGCGGCCACTGCACTCCAGTCTGGGTGACGGAGTGAGACTCCAACTCAAAAAACAAAAAAGAAACACTGGGTCTATTTTTAGTTTTTGGCTATTAGTAATAAAACCATTATGAATATGCTTGTGCAAGTCAATCTTCTTGTAGACATGTTACTTCTCTTGGTAAACATGCAGTAGAGAAATTGCTGGAAGTCAAACAGTCTCCAAGGTGGTTTCCATATTACACCATCACCTGCAAACCTATGAGAGTTACAGATGCTCTATGTCCTTGCAGTCAAATACCCATACCAAAATAGACTGCCATATCCTGTGCCATAAACAAAAAATTTGAGTTGGAGTACAGTGATACAATCACAGCTACTGCAGTCTCAACCTGCTGGGCTCAGGTGATCCTTCTGCTTCAGTCTTCCAAGTAGCTGGGACTACAAGCACATGCCACCACCCCCAGCTAACTTTTTTATTTTTGTAGAGAGGTCTCACCATGTTGCCCAGGTTGGTCTTGAACTCTTGAGCTCAGGCAATTCTCTCACCTCAGCCTCTCAAGTGCTGGGATTACAGGCGTGAATTACCACACCCAGTCAAAACTCAAATTTAAAAGAGCATAATGAGATATCACTATACTTCTATTAGAGTGGATAAATAAAACATAAACGGGATAATATCAAATGCAGGTGGAAATGTAGAGAAAAAATGTCTCATACACTGCTGATCACAATGTAAAGGGTACAACTACTCTGGTAAACAGTGCCAGTTTCTGGAAAAAAACAAAAACTTACTGGACAACCCAGTAATCACACTCCTGGGCGTTTATACCAGAGAAATGAAAACTCAAGTTCCCATAAAAACCTGTATACAATTGCTCACAGCAGCTTTATTTGCAATATCCCTAAACTGCAAACAATTACGATGTCCCTCAATTGATGAAGGGTTATACAGACCATGCACCTATGGCATAGCCATACCAAGGAATATTACTCAGCAATAAAATAAATTACTTATTATACAGACCATGCACCTATGGCATAGCCACACCATGGAATATTACTCAGCAATAAAAGAAATTAATTATTGACACACACAACAACTTGGATGGATCTCAGGAAGATTATACTGAATGAAAACAAGACAATTTGAAAAGGTCATGAACTGTAGGATTTTATGTATGTATCATTCCATTTAGGGAGATGGGTTGCTAGGGTTGGGAACAGTAAGGGAAAAAGGAATGGGTATGACTGTAAGGGGAGACCGTGAGGGAGCTCTTTGTGCTGATGAACAGTTCTAAGCCTGGACTATGGTTACAGAGATAAAATGACATAGACCTATAAATACATATTGTACAATGTCAATTTTCTGGTTTTGGTTTTACACTATAGTTATGACATATAAGCATTGGGGGAAACACTGAAGGTACACAGGACCTCTCTATACTATCATTGCAAGTTAAAATCACCCATATAGCTACACAGCTCAATAGTGGTTTGTTTGTTTTTTTAAATCTCTCTACTTCTTAGAAAGGTAATAATATGAACCATATGACTTCATCCTCTGGATACTATTATTGGATAAGAAGAACCAACCCAAAAGTGGGACTGAGTCAATCTGGCTGTCTTCAGAATTTGAACTGAACAAAAGACCAGCCATCCATGCAGGGCTCCACAGCTGAAAAGGCCTGTGACAACAGGATCAAAACTGGTTCCCAGCAAGTCCAAGCTAGTTGAGGTCATGAGGCAAGCAGCAAAAACTGTGAGGCTCCCTGGCTATAAAAATGCCAATTTAGAGAATATTCCCTGTAGAGCTATTTTGGTAGTGAATGGGTTTCTATCTCTTGCAGTCATCAATCTTGACTAAAATATATACTTGACAAAAATAAAAGGCAACAAAGACTTGACGGCATCATAGTTTGCTATGGCCCTGTCCCTATACTCCTGAAGTTTAAGACAGCTGTCATTTAAATAATCTAGTCTTCATCTCACTTTTATCTGACTCGTTGGAGTCAATGAGACTAGAGTTGAGCAGAAAGGGCAAAGAGCACACCAGGTCTCTACTACGGATGGTAATAACATGTACCCAGGTATACTGGATGCTCTACAGTCTACTAGAACTATGTCCTCCACCAGAGGGTTCCAATGCCAAGTATAGGGACCTGGAATTTAAAGGTCGGAAGGATACAAGTTTACAAAGAATCTAGATGTTGGAATTTATTCATTAATCTTTTATTTTAAATAAATAATTTTTAAAAAAATTTATTGTGGGGGCTGAAGGTATAAGATAACAAAGGGATACTGATCTCAGGAGCAAGGGTGAGGGACTCCACCTACTGACTCTTGTCCAGCCAAGAGTTCCACCATAACAGCATCAATCACTCTTGGCCTGGTGGTAAGTAAACCGAAAAGGGTCACACGTAGGCCAAGTCACTATCTCCTCACCTCCCGGGCTAATCTCCACTTCCAGTCACCATCTCAGAACCCCAGCACAGTGCAGAGTAGAATAACAGACACTGAAATCACATTGCCTGGGTTCCCATCCTGCTTCTGCCACTTCCTGCTATGTGACTTCTCTTTGCCCCAGTTTCCTCACCTGTAAAAAGGGAATTACAGTAGCCACCTCATACCACCTGGCACTGGCATTAAAATACTTTCATTATATCTTCTGTGTCCACTTCAGTGAATGGTTACCAGAAATCATGGGAAGTCAACTGAAAATAAGCTCAAACAATACAAAGATTGTTTTTATTTTTTAACCATTTTTGCTAATGTAAGAACAGAACTATCACAGCAGCTCAGTTCTATAACCTATCTAGCCCAAGACTGTTCTGGTGGTAGACCAAGAGTAGACAAAAGGTCTTTCTCCCTCTTCTCAAAACCCAAGGACATCTTCCAAAGGGAACTAACAAGTACCTGTCATCCGAGAATTTAAGGTCTTCTTGATCCTTCTATATTTTCCACCAATATTATTACCTTCTGAGGTTATGAATTCCAGTTCTGCTATGAAACAGGTAAAGCTTCCTGTCGCATTTTAAGAAGTATGGTTTGAGAAGGGAATTGGGGATCATGACTCTAGAGACTTCACCACTTCTCCCATTAGCCTGTCCCATCAAGGTGTACAACAATCAATGTTCTCACAGTTGCCCATCTCTAGTTTTGGGGTTCTTCAGGGTCTATAGACCAAGCCTCAGGAAGTCATCCACTGGAAGCACATTAAAATTTATCACAAAGGCAGATCAACTTACTAGTTATTCTTTGGCCCCAGCACACACTGGGCCAGCATTTTTCAGGAGCAGCCCTATCAGCACTGTCTAGGCTGTTTTCCTAAGCCATGAATGGGTTGTTTAGGGCCTTCTATCTATCTGTCCTAAAAGCTTCACATAACTCATACAGTCTTACTGTCCTCTGTTTTTTTGGTGTGTTATGATCCTACCTGTAAAGCTATCAAACTACTTTTGCACTCAAGTGTTGTGAAGAGGTAAGGAGAGGCTCAGAGCTCCGTCCTCAGTGACCACGTCTCCAGGAGTTGCCACCTGCAGGGCTCAGGCTGGTACCAAAGCTCTGAATAACAGAGTCACTGCCAATAATTTACCTACTTCTAGGCAGGAAGACAAAAGGTTACATGGAACAGAAATAAAAACACTGAAGCATGGCCTTTGTCGTCCTGATGCCCTAAGCTTCCTGGGACAGCCAAGATACTATTGCCTAAGCTTGTTGTCCATACTTCACCTCCAGGCACTGGAGACAGGACTTTGAGGGTTTCTTCCCTCTGACTTGGCAAACTCTTCTTCTCATCTCCAACTGAATCACCAGTAGTTCCTTCTCTTGGGCACATCCTTCAAGCCACTTCTTTTGCTGTTCCATTCCTCTTCTTCAGGCTTCCTGGACCTGAAGGCCCTTGGGACACAAGAACTACCCAAAGCATGGCAAAGAAGAGAGAGGGGCTAGCTTACTCCTCCTGGCAACCACTGCTCCCCACACCTAGAGTAAACCAAAGGAGCTGCAAGATGACGGCCCAGTTCTCTTTGTCTTCATTATGAAACAAAAAATAGGAATTCCCAGGTCTCAGCAGGCTATTCAGTATCCAATGTGGTTTCTAAGGGGGAGCTACATGGGGAGGACTCTCCCATCGCTGCTCAGTGAAGGCAACAGTGATGCCCAAAACAAGTTCTTCTGCCCTGAACCAGACCAGTCAGCAGACCAGGATGACCCCAGTCCTTGGAAAAGGCTCTCAATTCCAACTTCTACAGCCCCAGATCATGTGGATGTCTGCTATCAACTGGGCAGAAAGCACAGCACAGACCTCCAAAAGGAAACTCCTTCATTAAATGCAGCAGGCAGTCCAACACCAACAGCTTAAGCAGGAGGGAAAGAAATGCCTCTGATTGAAGCAGTCAGCTCTGCTGAGGAGGCTGGGGATCCCAGGAGCCAGATTTGCAGATCCCGAGGATGGTGCTTCCCTTGCTGGTGCCATGTCACCTAACCTAATGGTTTCTCTAAAACCCAATGGCCCAACCCTGAAGAAAGTTGGTAAAGAGGCAAAAATGATGTGTCTTAAAGAGGTCTTCAGACACGTGGACAGCTCAGCAAGATCATGTATATGCCCAGGGCCCACCATGAAGCAGCCATCATCCACCTGGTATGGAGCACATAGCGCATGACATCTTCAGGGTGCTGGAGGCAGGCGCTGTGGCAGGAGAAGCAGTGAACAAGGGTCAAAGTTTTGTCAGGTTACCACATCCAGACCCTCTGACACAATCATCCCACTCTTGAAAATTTATTCCAAAGAAGTAACTCTCAATAAGGAAGAAGCTAGACACACAGGGACATGTGTTCTGGCTGTCAAGTGGTTAACAGAACATGGACTCTAGAGTGAGAGACTCATTTTATCACTTTTTAGGGCTGGTAACTTGTGCTCTCTGAGCCTCCTTTTCTTTACGTGTAAGATGCAGATGATAGCAACTAATTTCCAGGGTCATTATGAGAATTAAATGAGACAATCTATATAAAATAACTGAGTATAATATGTGCTCAACTACAAAGGTCAGCTTGTTATTATGCAGAAAAAAGGAAATAGGTGAGTTGTTAAGGATGGCAGAACTGAAGATCTCCGTGACTGTTCTGCATTATCATTTTTTAGGTATTAGATGTGTAGGTGTGTGGAGCATGCCATCTGTTGGATCCTGAAGCTTAGGAAGAAGGAAGCAAGGTAGAGGAGGGTGGTCTTTCCCCACTTTTCCAGATTTCAACCTGAGGGCACTCCCAAGAAGTCTCTGAGAACGCAGTAAAGGGTAAAGGAGGAGAGGACAGATGGAGGGCATACAAGGGGAGAAACGAAGAAGGGTTTGACAATCAAAACCTTCCAACTTCTGCAGCCCCAGACCATGTGGATGCCTGATACCAACTGGGCAGAAAGCACAGCACAGACCTCCAAAAGAAAATGCCTTCATTAAATGCAGCAGGCAGTCTAACACCAACATGTGGGTCAAACTGCAGCTTAAGCAGGAGGGAAAGAAATGCCTCTGACTGATGCACAGTCAGCTCTGCTGAGGAGGCTGGGGATCCCAGGATCCAGGTTTGCACATCCTGAGGATGGTTCTTCCCTTGCTGGTGCTATGTCACCTAACCTAATGGTTTCTCTAAGACCCAGTGGCCTAACCCTGAAGAAAGCTGGTGGAGAGGCAAAAGTGATGTCTTAAAGAGGTCTTCAGACACATGGACAGTTCAGCAAGCCTCCCAAAGGCAGGGCTGTGCTTGGATGACAACTCTATTCTGACTACCTCTGGAAATGAGCCTGCTCACCCTGGGGCTGCTACAAGGCTGCAGCCTGGCCACTGCCATGGGGCGCCAGCTAGAGGGGCTGCCAGCCAGCCTAACACTGTCACAGTGTGACTGGCCAGACAGACAGGAAATTTTGGAATCACAGGCAGGAGAGCCCATTTTCTGGACTCCGATATAAGACACAACACATCTCTGCCCCTCTCCCTCCAGTTTCTCAGCAGTAAGGAGTACACAACAGTCCATTACCATAAAGGAAACATGTAGCAAACAATAATCAATGCCAGAAACAGATAATTAAGGGCTTGCACAGACTTTAGAGAAGTCTCCTTGATGCTACAACCTTTTTTCCCTTTAAACTCATTCCATCCATAATTATTGCAGTATAAAACTCTAAAATTAAAAGGGCTGTTTTTCCAAACTCCAATACAATACCATTATTACACATAAAAAGTTAATAAATGTTAACATCAACAACTATCCAGTCAGTGTTCAAATTTCCAACTGCCTCATAAACGTTAAAAAAAAAAAAAAAAAGCCTGGTACTCTTGCCTCAATATCATATTATCTCAAAGTCAGAAAGCTTTAATCTAACAATACACCTTGCCTGTAAGAAAAGAACCACCACTAGACCCCTCTTTGTAAGTAAACACTCCTCTTACTAAGGTGAAAACTAATCTCATGTTAATACCATCAAGCAAAAGGCTAGACCTTGATCTTTATTCTGTGCTTCAATTTAGCCATAAAAGGAGGATTCCCAATGACCTCTACTCCCTTCTCAACACTAACTAGCTACTCCACGGCACAGGAGGCTGGGAAGAACCACCTAACGTAAGAGGAAGATAAAGCCAGGCTCGGTGGCTCAGCCTGCAATCCCACGACTTTGGGAGGCTGAGGTGAGTGAATTGCCTGAGCCTGCGAGTTCAAGACCCGCCTGGGCAGTGAGACTTCATCTCTACAATAAATCAAAAAATCAGCCGGGCGTGGTAGCGCATGCCTGTAATTCCGGCTACTCGGAAGGCTGCGGCAGAAGGATCGCCGGAGCCCAGCAGGTCCAGGCTGCGGTGGCCGGGAGCGGCCACTGCACTCCAGTCTGGGCGACAGAGTGAGACTCCAACTCAAAAAAAAAAAAAAAGAGGACAATATCATGCAGCAGGGATCTTTGTTCTAATTGTGCATCAATGTGGCATCAGCAAAAAGAGAAGAGAGCCTAAAAACATGCCCAAATGGTTTTGTAGGTCATTTCTATCAAACAATCAAGGAACTGATCATTTCTACACTATATAACTGTTTTATTAGAGTATGAGAGAAAAAATTAAACATGCTCCATCTCATGCTACAAAATTTAATTATGACAAGGAACATACATACACAAACCTGAGGAAGGAGGCATGGAGGGAAAAGGAAGAAAATCATAGGCTAATCTTACTAATAAACACAGAGGCCAAAATCCTAAGTAAAATAAAAGCAAACAGAAAGAGAAGACATTTTTTTTCCTTAGCAACACTTGACTTCTTTCTATTTTCATTTGTTCTCTTCTGATAGGGTCTTGTTTTCTTTATATACACACAAAAAATAAGTTAGGGGATGAGTAAAAAAGAAATCTTTTAAAGTAATTCATCATTAAATGTTTATACTCATTCAGCTCATCTAATTCTAAAATAATGGAGAAAATTAATTATCAAGAGATAGAAGAATAAAGATGGCCTTAGCAAATAGAAAAAAAATTGATACTTTCTTAGTTTCAGGATCTGTATTATAAACAAATAATATAAAGCTAGCACAGATATAGCTGGACATGGTAGCTCATGCCTGTAATCCCAGCACTTTGGGAGGTAGAGGTGGGAGGATTGCTTGAGACCAAGCGTTCAAGATCAGCACAGGGGCTGGACACAGTGGTTCATGCCTGTAATCCCAGCACTTTGGGAGGCTGAGGCGAAAGGATTGTCTGAGTCCACAGGTTCGAGACCAGCCTGGGCAACTTGGCGAGACCTTGTCTCTACAATAAATAAATAAGCAATTATCTGGGTGTGGTGGCACACGCCTGTGGTTCCAGCTTCATGGAAGGCTGAGGTGTAAGGATCACCTGATCCCAGCAGGTCGAGGCTGCGGTGGCCATAAGCATCCCACCGCACTCCAGGCTGGGCAACAGAGTGAGACTCTCGCCTCCCCCACCAAAAAAAGTGAAGGTGGTCAATGCTACTTAACTGTATGCTTAAACATAGTTAAAATGGTAAATTATATGTTATGTGTATTTTACCATATTTAAAATTATTTTTTAAAAAGATTACTTTTTACATTCTTGTGGTAGAACTAGCTTTCCTTCCTTCTTTCTTTTTTTTGGGGGGGAGTCAGGGTCTCGCTATGTTGCCCAGGCTGGAGTACAGTGGTGCCATCATAGCTTAATGTAGCACTGAACTCCTGGCCTCAAGCAATTCTCCCACCTTGGCTTCCCAAGTGCTGGGATTACAGGTTATGAACCACTGTACCTGACCAGGATGACCTTTCTCAAGATATTAAACCTTGGAGCCATAAGGGGAAATATTTGAAAATTTTATCATACAGATTTTTATCTTTTTTCTTTTTAGCCTTTTAACCTCTGAATATAAAAATTTTAAATGTCTATATAATAAAAAATCCAGAACAGTCACAGGACTGTAATCCCAGCACTTTGGGAGGTGGAAGTGAGAGGATTACCTGAGCCCAGGGGTTCGAGACCAGCCTGGACAACTTGGCGAGAACTTGTCTCTGCAATAAATAAAAAAATTAGCCAGGTATGGTAGAGTACGCCTGTAGTTCCAGCTACTTGGAAGGTTGAAGCAGAAGGATCACCTGAGTCCAGCAGGTTGAGGCTGCAGTGGCTGTGAGTATGCCACTGCACTCCAGTCTGGGTGACAGAATAAGACTCCAACTCAAAAAAAAAAAATCCAAAACAAAAGTTAAAAGACAAGCACACAATGCTTCAATAGAAAGAAAAAATTGCCGGGCTCAGTGGCTCAGCCTGTAATCCCGCACCTTTGGGAGGCTTGCCTGAGCTCGCAGGTTCAAGACCCGCCTAGGCAACTTGGTGACACCTCATCTCTACAATAAATCAAAAAATTAGCCGGGTGTGGTAGCACGCATCTGTAGTTCCAGCTACTCGGAAAGCTGAGGCAGAAGGATTGCCGGAGCCCAGGTTGAGGCTGCGGTGGCCAGGAGCGGCCACTGCACTCCAGTCTGGGTGACAGAGTGAGACTCCAAGAAAAAATTATAATGAGCTACTAACTGGAATAACATATGCAACTTGTATAACAGATAAAGGATTAATATCTGAATATACAAAGTCACTACAAATCAGAAAAGTAAAGAATATAAAGAATACAACAAGCATTTCTTTCTTTTTTAATTTTTTTTTGAGTTGGAGTCTCACTCTGTCCCCCAGACTGGAGTGCAGTGGCCGCTCCTGGCCACCGCAGCCTCAACCTGCTGGGCTCCGGCAACCCTTCCGCCTCAGCCTTCCTAGTAGCCGGAATTACAGGCATGCGCTACCACGCCCGGCTGATTTTTTGATTTATTGTAGAGATGAGGTCTCGCTGCCCAGGCGGGTCTCCAACCCGCAGACTCAGGCAATCTACTCACCTCAGTCTCCCAAAGGCACAGGATTACAGGCTGAGCCACTGAGCCTGGCTTACAACAAGCATTTCATAAAAGACACACACCTTCAGTGGCTCACACCTGTAATCCCAACACTTTGGGAGGCAAAGACAAGAGGACTGTCTGAGCCTACGGGTTTGAGACCCGCCTGGGCAATTAGGCAAGACCTCATCTCTACAATAAATTTAAAAAGTAGCTGGGAGTGGTAGCATGTCTGTAGTTCCAGCTATTAGGAAGGCTGAGGCGGAAGAATTGCCTGAGCCTAGTAGGTAGAGGCTGCAGTAGCAGTGAGCATGGCACTGCACTCCAGCCTGGGTGCCAGAGTGAGAATCCAACTCAAAAAAAAAAAAATACACCCTTTTAAGTAATTAGGAAAATGCATATTTAAAGTTTCATTTTGTAGCCATGAGATTAACAAAATTAAAAATACTGATTTGCACAACTGAAAAAAGTATAGGAAAACAAATTATCATCACTGTGACTAGAATTACAAATTAGCAAAACTTTTAGAAGGGCAATTAGTTTAGTCAGCTGCTAGCCAGGTATTAGATGTATATATCCTCCATGTATTTGGTCTCTAGGCCAGAGAAATGTTCGCAGAGGTACACAAGAATCATGAACAAGGATGTTCACCACAGCATTATTTACTATATCAAAACAAAACATCACTTGAGCCCAGGAGGTCGAGACTGCGGTGAGCTAGGATCACACCACTCCAGTCCAGCCCGAGTGACAGAGCAAGACCCCTACTCTTTTTTTTTTTTTTTTTTTGAGTAGGAGTCTCACTCTGATGCCCAGGCTGGAGTGCAATGGCATATTCACAGCCACCACTAGCCTTCACCTGCTGGGTTCAAGCAATCCTTCTGTCTCATTCTTCCAAGCAGCTGGAACCACAGGCATGTGTCACCATACCTGACTACTTTTTTGATTTATTGTAGAGATGAGGTCTCGCCAATTTGCCTAGGCTGGTCTCAAAGCCCTAGACTCAGACAATCTTCTCTCACCTCTGCCTCTCAGAGTGCTGGGATTACAGGTGTGAGCCACTGCATCCAGCTGAACCTGACCCAACTCTTAAAAATAAAAGAGAATATAATCCAATTATCTACTTAACAGGAGGTGGTGAAATATACTTTTTCACATCTACCCAATGAATACTAGCCAGACTCTGAAAAGAGATAGATAAGTCTCTGTACTCCACAAGGAAACATGTCACAACATGATTTGTAAACAAAAGCTAGTTACAAAAGAGTCCATACTTTAAACCTATTTCTGCCCAAAATAAAAAAAATAATGTATTTGGACTACAGGTGTGTGTCAATATGTCTAATTTTTAAAACAATTTTGTAGCCAGGCATGGTGGCTCAAGTCTGTAATCCCAGCACTTTGGGAAGCAGAGACGAGAGGATTACCTGAGTCCAGGGGTTTGCGACCAGCCCGGACAACTTGGTGAGAACTTGTCTCTACAATAAACAAAAAATTAGCCGGGCATGGTGGCGCATACCTGTAGTTCCAGCTACCTGGAAGGCTAGGGCAGAAGGATCACCTGAGCTCAGCAGGTCAAGGCTGTGGTGGTCGTGAGTGTGCCTCTGCACTCCAGCCTGGGCAACAGAGTGAGACAGACTCCAACTCAAAACAAAATATATATATATTTATACATATATATTTTGTAGACAGGGTCTTGTTATGTTGCCCAGACTAAGTCTCATACTCCTGGCCTCTAGCAATCCTCCCACCTCAGCCTCCCAAAGCACTGAGATTACAGATATGCGTCACCACACCCAGCCTAAAATAATGTACTTTATATAGGAAAAAAATCTGGAAGAATCTCTATCAAGCTATTAACACTGATCATCTCTGGAAGTAGCATCATGAGAAATTTTCACTTTTCAACTTACATTATTTCTGTAACGTCTGAATTTTTTTTGAGTCAGAGTCTCACTCTCTCTGTTGCCCCGGCTTGGAGTGCAATGGTATGCCCATGGCTACCACAGCCTGAACCTGCTAGGCTCAGGCAATCCTTCCAAGTAGCTGGAACCACAGGTATGCACCACTCACACCCAAACAATTTTTTTTTTTTAATGGTAGATATGAGGTCTCGCCAAGTTGCCCAGGCTGGTCTCAAACCCATGGGCTCAGGCAATCCTCTCACCTCCGCCTCCCAAAGTGCTAGAATTACAAACATGAGCTACTGTGCCTGGCTGAATTATTTAAATAAACATAATCACTTTTGTAACTGAAAAAAATAAAAATAAAAAGACTTCCACCTCTCTGCACAAAGGGGTAGCCATAATCCCAGTGAATGTCAGGTGCCAATTTCTGCATCATATTTTCTCCTAAAGAAGACGAGATAGAAGAGCTTCTCAGGGAATGATTCAGGGATTATTACCAGTAGTACCCAGGTACCCAGATCCCAGGCAGACTGACATGGTGGGAAGGACAGGGACAAGCCTTCAGTCATGCAACATGCACAGCACCTTGCCAACACACAGAAAAGCCTTGGCTGAACAGTGGATACTAAAGGAAAGCACACTCAATACTGGACTCAAAACTATTTTTTTTTTGTTTAATCTCCAATCTTTGCATGGCTCCTTGGATCACAATTTTAAGATTAGAAACATTTTACTTGAAAAGGTCATGATGGAAATCACATCAGCTAAGAGAAACTGATAGTACTTCCTAGGTAAAAGCTTTCAAAACCTAGCGGTGTCCTTAAAAGATAGCAATGAATGCCAAGATCTGGGAAGGCTAGAAATAGAAAGCCATTAGTCAAAGAAAGAATATTAGTCTAAAGAATAGCCAACTAGCCTCTACTCACAACCTCTGAAAGATGCGTCAAAGAATGGGAGAAAAAAAGGAAAGGGAAAGTAAGCAAAAACATTAAATACCACTGCTACACACTTAACATATTTATATATTTAATTTATATAGTTAATCATCCATGAAGTATTACAGAAGAGGAGACTCAGAGAGGTCTATGATTCACTCAAAGTTACAAAGCCACAAACCCTAGAGTCCAGATTTGAATCTAGTCTGCCTGCAAGTCCAGTGCATGGGCAGAGCCTCCAGTCAGCCAGTTGAGCCCCAAACTTCCCAGTACTGAAGCCCATGTTTTCCTCAGTCTTCCCAGGCAGACTCACCTGTGAGCTGGAAGGCAGCAACTGGGAGGTGGGCTCCTCAGTCGGGGCTGCTCCTGAGCCCATGGGGCTCAGTGTGGTGATTCTGCTGGGTTGGCCACGAAGTGTCAGAGTAATGGTGGTAGGGACCTTCAAGCCTAAGAGACACAGAGAAAAGCAGTGTTTTGGGTTGTAGCCTCCACTTTCTGCTAAGGCTTTCCTCTCTGGAGTTTCTTCCCCACCTAACACATCCCTTGGTCTCCTCCCCAGATGGGTTATCTATGCCCTATCAGTCAGCCTGAAAGGCAACAGGAAACAGGAAACAGTCTGTGTTCTCTCAACCTCTCTGGGGGATAAGTCCACAAAGCTGAATCCAAGGGTCAACACCAGGACCCTGCAGGGTTGGGTTCAACATCATACCTTACCCATGTGAGATGGGAAGGTTCTAGAGGAAGATCCCAGATCTGGGAGTCCCCACAGTTCTCATGAGAGACTCACCTGATGCTTGGTTAGAGATCTGTGCCAGGCCAGGGAGGCTGCTTGCCAACTTAGCGAGGCCCCCATTGGTCAGCAGCTGGTGGATGGCTGTGGGCTTCCCACCAGGAGTGGCACCCAAGGAGGAGAGAGTGGTGGCCACAGGAATGGTACGGACAATGGTGCTGGTGCCCGTGGTGATGGCACCCAGGCTCTGCATGGGGGTGGGCAACTTCACACTGGTGGCCTGTGGGACACACAAGCCCAGGTGATCAGAAGCTGTCGCCCAACAGCAACGTTCAAGCTTGGAGGGCCCACAGCTTATTATTAAAGGCTAACGTGTTGAATGCTTACTACATGCAAGGTACTCCTCAGGCATTTTGTAAATGTTATTGAATCCTCGCAACAACTCTATAAAGGAGGTGCTATTAATACCTCATTTTACAGACAAGGACACAGAGAAGGTCAAGAAATGTGTTCAAGTCCACATAATAAGTGATGAACCTTTGGCAGCTCCCAGCTGTGTAGTTAGAAGGCTGTTTGTCCCTGACCCACTGACTCCAGACCCAGGCTCCCTGCCAAAACCAATGAAGTTGAGGAGGCCTCCTTCCCACACCTGCCCAGCCCAATGGATGGCAGATGTGCACCTGTGGAACTGGTCCTGGGGAGGGATTTGATGGCAGGCCAGAGGTCTTGCTGCTGATATCCTGCAAGCTGAAGCTGAGGCCTTGGAGGAGGCTACTGGCTGATGTGGCCCCTAGGAGAGGACACAATAGGCATCAGCACAGGCTCAATCACTGGCATGTATCCCAAGAGCATCAATTCCATCCACCCTCACCACCAACGAAAACACCAATGCATGTGCCCTTGGACACTCTCCTGCCCTTAGAGAGATGTCAGGAAGGTCCCCCCAGGAAACACACACACATAGGATGCCACATGAGGAAAGGTACTAGCCAGACACTGCCCTGGATTCACTTTGCATATCCCAACCTGCTCCACACCACCAGTCATACATTTTGAGGAATCCAAATTCTCTCCTTTATTTCCAGGAAGGACTTTTTAAGCCAAGAGAATTCTAAATATCTGGTTTACACTTCATCCCAAATAGTCCAGAGGCTTCAAAGCAAAAAGGAAGGTCCTCTTGAAGGAGGGGTGTCTGTAATGCCTCAGACCTGCTGGGCCCAGGCAACTAGCCTTTCAGTGTAGGGTTGGAAGTTGGAGAATGTGAGAAACAAGCACAGACAGAAAAATGTCTCATTTTGCTAATGCCCAGGATGGCACCATTTCCAGTTTTATTCAGATATGTTTAAACCACCAAAATGAAACACAATACAGTTGGCCCTCCATATCCGCTGGCTTCGCAGTTAAAGATGCAGCCAACTGCACAACTTCCGATAAGGAACCAATAGATACGAAGGGCTGAGTACACATCTTTTTTTTTTTTTTTTTTTTTTAAAGAAAGCAGGATTTATTAAGAAGACAGAAAAGCTCCAACAGTGGGAAGGGACCTGAAAGGTTGCCCAAAACTTTTTTATGTAAAGGACCTGAGCCACGAATTTTGGTAATGGCCAGAAATCCTAGAACCAATCCCCCGTGGATAATGAGGTCAACTATACATATATCTCCTATAAGCTACTTTTCCACCTTATAAGTAGAAGATGCAGCACGTGCAGACTGGTTCTTCTACTCACTGCAGACACTAAGGCCAAGGAATCCCTATGTCCAAGCTAATTCTAGCTTTATGTCAAGCCTCTATGACCACCCTGAGACCCAGAAGCACATCCTCCAGATCTAGCTCCAGGGATGCTTACCTAGGATCACCCTTCCACAAGAGACTGGAAAGACTACTGGGAGGGGACAATGCTGGACTACAAGGTACCTGGGAGGGAGCTGCCAGGAGAGGTGGCCACCAAGCGGCTCTGGAGTGTGTGCAAGGCACTGGGCACAGTGCTGCTGGAGACCACTGAGGGAGTAGGGCTGGCTGAGACTCCACCTTCAGAAGTGCTTGACCTGAAGACAAAGGAAGGAGCACTATCATCCAAAGGTCAGAAGGCATCAGGTCCCAGCAATACAGGAGGGTCCAGAGTGGGGCCCAGTAAGGCTTTCAATGGTGGACATAGGCTGGGACCTTCAGTTTCTTTGTCCCACTTTTGGGACCCAGCCTCTAAGCCTTCTAAAAGTCAAGACTAAAGTAGTAAAAACCTCAAATCGTACAGCAAGAGCCAGGGGACACTTAGCAATCTTTAAGTAAAAATGAACTCTGAGTTGACCCACAAGAAAGACAAAAATCCCAATCAGAAAGGAGTCACATTCCTGTAACTCAAAGAATTCAGAATCTACCATCTTTCCAAAGCATTCAATGAACCAGAAATGTGGTGCAAGGAAAAGGGGAATAGAGATAGACCAAAAAACAGACTCACTTGGCTGTGAGAAGTCCTGTGAGCTCCTTGGCCCCTGCTGAAGCCTGCCCCAATGTCATGGTGATAGGCTTCCCACCCGCAGCTGCAAAACAGAAAACCCCAGGGCCACTGGTCAGTCCTATTTGGCCCCTACCTTTCCAGGTTCCACAGCTCAGGCTAAATGCAAGATATTATGGACAAAAACTGGAAGATGAGAAAAGAATAACTATGTTAGAGTAGGGAGAGTTGGGATTATTTTCCCTTATAGTTTCTAAACCTTTGACAATTTTTAATTAAAACTTTAAAAATTATTTTGAGGCCGGGTTTGCTGGCTCAGCCTGTGATCCCAGCACTTTGGGAGCCCACGGGTTCGAGACCCGCCTGGGCAACTTGGTGAGACCTTGTCTCTACAATAAAGCAAAAATTAGCCGGGCGTAGTAGCATGTGCCTATAGTTCTGGCTACTTGGAATGCTGAGGCGGAAGGATTGCTGGAGCCCAGCAGGTCAAGGCTACAGTGGCCAGGAGCATGCCACTGCACTCCAGTCTGGGCGACAGAATGAGACTCCAACTCAAAAAAAAAAAAAAAATTATTTTGATTTGGTGTTTCACTCTGTTACCCAGGCTGCTGGAGTGAAGTGACATGATCATGGCTCACTGCAGCCTTGACCTCCTTGGGATCAGGCAATCCTTCTGCCTCAGTCTCCTGAGTAGCTAGGACTACAGGTGTGTACCATCATGACTGGCTAATTTTTTCTATTTTGTTATAGAGACAAGGTCTCACTATGTTGCCCAAGCTGATATTGAACTACTGGGCTCAAGCAATCCTCTTACCTTGGTCTCCCAGAGTGCTGAGATTATAGGTGTGAGCCACCACACCTGGCTACTTTTGGAAATATTTTATATCTTTAATTAAAACCAATAAAAGAACAAAATACATGATGCTTTGAATGACCCTACAGCTTCCTCTCATACTCTGCCTCCCTGGTCCTCATTTAGATGAAGTCATTGTCCACTTGAAGACACATGGGCGACTTCAAGTCTTCTTTACTCCGAGCATCTCTCACACTGAAGCAGAGACTGAGGAGCTGACAAGGAGGTGCACGGGGGCAATGCTGTGTACCCTGGAGAGCTTGGTCACTTCTTATGTAAACATGCCAAGAGAAACTCACCTTCTGGAGCTCCTCCTTGGGAAGGAGCACAAGGCCCTCCAGCTGCGTCTCCTTGGGAGATAAGGGACACCTTGATCTTCGGTCGCTTGGAGGTCTTACTGCCAGGAAGAGGACTCGAGGGATGGTGCCGCTTCAGCTGGACCCTAAGGTCCTCTTTCTCTGCTTCCTCTGTTGGTTCTGATGAAATGGGAACTAAGAGAAGGAGGTGAGATGAGACCTTCTACCACCCAAAAAAGCCTGATAGACACTAACAGTCAACACTTGCATGGGCACAGTCATATGTGGGAATACACAGGAGAAAGGCCTCACATATGGAGCCACCCTTCAGAGGAGACTGGCCAGGATTCAGGTCCATTTCACCCAGGCTTTGCCTGCAGTGGACCCCACCGTGCCCTTCTTACAGGATGACTCCATTTCTATCCCTGACCCTGCCCTGGAGCCAGAAGGGAAGGGGCCCTGAGATGGTGAGAACAAAAAGACAGAAGATACCCTGACCCTGCCTAGCAAAGGCCAACAACAACAACAACAACAACAACAAAAATAGAGGACTCACCACAATGGATCTAAGTAGTCCTTACCAGACTAAAAGAGTGTGGTCACTTTCCTGTTTCAAGGCCTCCCCACATCATCACACAGCTGGGAACATTAAACATTCTACAAAGAACCCATGGAGAAGCAGGTCACTCAGTCCTCTCTAAGAAGTAGAGTTTTCCACAAGGCTCTGAGAGTCCCACCTTGCTCTAAAAATCCAAGGTTGAGGGCCTGCTTGCCAAATGGAGGCAATGAAAAGGAGTTATCACCAGGACTGAAGGCTAGCTTTGAGCAACTACTAGGTTAGAGAGCACCTCAGTCCAGGCAACTTCACAACTCCTGCTCAAAGGCAACAGTGGGCCATGTCACAACCGAGTTCCCAGGTCATTTGTACTAGCACAGAAAAAAGTCATCTGTTCACATAGGGGCTTTCCCTCCACTGACTCAAACAGACTCATCCTGCAGATAGTCAAACCTTTGGACGCTTAGGAGGTTATCCTTCAGACTTCCTCATAGATTCCCGCCTCTTTAAACCTAGAAGCCCACTCTAGTCCCTCTCTGTAGCACAGGCAAGCAGGCGTTGGGGTGTGGAGGAAGGCAGCAGGGCTACGATCAGGGCATAACCAGCTAGAAAGACTGCTTAGGGAACAAAAGCACTGGATAAAATCAGAGTAGGAAGGAGGGTAGAAGGGAAAGAAGTTGTAGGTTTTAGGCTGGTGGGCTTATAGCTGCCAAGATGAAAACAGGAAAACAAAGTTGGGGGAAAAACTCACAAGGAAACTCAGGCTCACAGGCAATGGGCCACAGGCACACAAAGGGAAAGCAGAGCCAAAACCATGGTGAAAGAAAGACCATGAGAAGCAAACAAAAAGAACAGAGAAAGACCAAGCAAGACTAGAGGAAGCAAGAGGGTTAGCAAAAAAAATAAACAGGTGACAGAAAAAGGCAGAAAAGAACAGGAGTAAACCAAACTGAGACAGAGAGGCAGAGATGGGAGAGAAAGAAGAAGGAAGAGAAGAGGAGAGTGCAGTGGACAAACAGGCAAGAAGAAGAGTAATACTCACCAAAGAGACAGGAGGAGGCGCCAGGAGGAAGAGCTTTCCTCACCAGCATATTTTGTTTCAGAAAAGCAGCAAACTGTGCTGGAATGAATCAGAAAGAATTACAGAATCACAGCCAGTCAGAGAAAGGAGAAAAAGAGAAGAAATAAGGAAAAGATGAAAAAAGTTGTAGAAAATGATCAACGGGGCTCTTTCTGAAGTTACTTCCATGTAGTAGTTCCATGGAATCATCCATAAACTGAGGTGGCATACAATAAGGGCTCCATCTATGTTAGCTGTTACCACTTACCCTTGCCCATCAGCTCTGCTAAAGCCAAGGTCCTAAGGCTGCTGCTCTCCCCCATGACAGGTCCCATTTGGAACTCACCTCACCAATCAACCTTCCGGAACTCCTTTGATTCTAGACTAATCATCCCCTCCAGAAGCACAACAGACTGCTGGCTCTACTTCATCAAAAGCCTAAGTGCACACTGCCCACTTGGAACCTGTCTCTGGCCACCATGCAAGACGTTGGTCACAAAGCATCCACGCAGAACCTGGGGTCTGGCCTCTTTTTTGCCTTAACCCACCCATTCACAGTTCTGCTCTTTCTTAGCACCACTCTCGTAAGCAACCTCATAAGAGGCCTGGGTTTAAGTTCTGACCATTTGGCTCCACTAAAAGAAACACAGGGGAAAAGAGCAGGTCACTCTCCTATCCCCTCCATGTCTCTCTGCTCAACAACCAGCTCTGGCTGCTGCCTCTTCCCAGGCATTCCTGTTCCCCTCAAGTGACATGTGCTCCTGGACACATCATCAGACACCAATGTCCAAATGTCCAAGTGACCTTACCTCAAGGCCACCCAACTGGATGAAAATGGCATAGGAGACAGAGTCACTATTCTTCTTTTTTCCCTACCCAGTGAAATTTCTCCTTCTTATAGCTCCTTACATAGCACTTGTAGCACTCCAACTCTAAATTCAATCATAAGATTTTCCTCCTGTAAAACTCACCTAAAGGAAACGCTGATAAACTTCACTGAAGGTCTCAGTGTAGGAATATTAACTCTTCAAGGGCCAAACAAAGAAAGCACATGATGCCAGATGAGTTACCCTAAAATCTGATGAATATAATCAATCACCCTGTACACAACTGCAGAGTTCCCTAACTGCAAGAGAGCCTGGAACCATAGAAGATGTAGTTTCTCCAATTAGTAGTTAGAAAAATGTTTAGGCCAGTACGCATGTTCATAAAGCCTAACTTCTCTAGAACACCACGATAAAGCTATAACTAGTGACCACAACGCCCTACTAAGGCACAGCAATTGGTATTCATTTCAATCTAATTTTGCCTGGATAGAAATGTGGGAAAGGATGCCTCTCATATCACCTTGAAAAAAGCTGCAAATATCAACACTTCCCAACTGCCACATGACACCAACTGCAGGAGACAGAACCCAAGAAGGTCATTGACCAGGTGCTTATACCTTGGGCTTGTTTGTGGGTCAGCACAGCTTCTGTCCGCTGCACATGTCTCTTTAGCAGCTGAGAGCTCCCAATCTGACTGGATTTCTGGGCAGAGGTCACTGTGGTCACTTTGGTCTTAGGACTGGAGGTGGGGCTGCTGGACACACTAGAGAGATCCTAAGTGGGGCAGAAAAGCCAAAAGAGTCAATGTCATTAGGATCTGACCATCCATCAACATGTCCCCCTGGATTTCCTTTCCCTTGTAGAAACTTACAATCCTATGACACTGACAAAGAGGAAAGGCATTTCCAGGAAGCTAAGGAACCAACTCCTGATTCCCCAGCAAAAGTGCTCCCTCCCTTCTTGTACTACCTCCGAGCCCGAGGGTGAGGCGGGCAGCTTGGCGGCTGGGGAGGCAGGTCGACTGCCCCGTTCAGGTACTTCAAAGGTCAGGTCTCTGCGGGCTGTGTCACGAGGTTTCTTCTTCTTCTCAGCATCCTGATCCCGAGGGTCAGAGCCCACGTGACCCTCAGTGCGAGTGAGCACTCCAGTCAGAAAGTCCACAATCTCATCCTAGTACAGAGAGGAGTCAAGGCCTTTTGGTTCTCTTCAGGTGAGCAGGAACCTACCAGACAGTGACCAGTGGTGGTCACTCTCTACCACTTTTCCAACAGACGCTTTTCTTCCCAATGCTTTGTTCACATCTTAGTTCACCACACCTCTCTTTTTCTCCCTCTCTTTCCCCTTTTCTTTGCTTATGACTAAAGCCTACCAGAGGTCCCAGTGGATACATCCTCACCCTTTAGAGCCAAAAAGGTCACTGGCAACTAGTCTAGACCTAAAAGGCTATTATAGAAAGGCAAGCTTAGCTGAGAAAAACACATAAAACAACTGTTTACCTGAATACATCTGTCCACCATGCTCTGAGTTAATCCTTCTGATTTCTTCTTTGCTTTGCTTATTCTAAAAGACAAAAATGAGGAAATGCTAACTTTCCAAACATTCCATGGCATTTTATGGAAATACGAATGTATTTCTTTTTTGTGTTGGTTATTTTCTAGGCCCAGGAAGGAAGACGATGTTACCCCTCAGGCAGGTAATACAGCCTCTCTAAATCTGTTTCCACATCTGCAAAATGGGAAATCATAACATCTCATTCATGAGTTGCAAGGATCAAACAAAATAACATGTAAAGAACCAAGTTCAGTTTACAGGACTGTCCACTCCAGAAGTCCCATACCTATGACTTAATAGATGAACTCTATCCAGATTGCCAAAATCTCATTTAGAGGTACCTCAACACAACCCTAAGATTACTAGGTACTGCTAAACTAGATAAGTAAGAGGGCAGAAAAGGTGGCTGCAGGTTAGTGCTAAAGGGATAAGAGAAAATGACCACAGCTAGGTGCCTGCCCCTCTTTGAAAGGTAGCCTTAAAACCCCTGGCTTCTGATGGGGGTCTTGTCAAAGAGAGGACCAGGGCACCAAGTAACTGGATGAGGAACACTATGAGCCTCCAAATTCTGACATCTCAATTTACAGATGATTGATGGCCTCTGATCTTATGTAACATCCTCATTATACAGATGAGAACAGTGAGTTGCAGAAGTCAGGCAATTTTCTCAAGCTTCTTAGCAAAAAGGTTAAGACTAACTGAGGTCTTTTAATTCTCAGTCCAGTGCTCTTGGCACCATGCAAATGTCTCATAAGCAGTCTCACAGTATAACTCTCAATAATAGCATTCCCATCTCTCCCCATTTCCTCCTGGTAACACAGTATACACAATCCAGTCTCCTACAGATAAGAATGTCTGAATTACCAAAAAAACCCATATATTTATATGAAAACACTGACACCTCCAAAAGACTCCTGGACTTGATAAATGAATTCAGTAAAGTTTTAGGATACAAAATCAAGACACACAAATCAGTAGCACTGCTATACACCAGTAGCAACCAAGCTGAGAATCAAATCAAGAACTCAACTCCATTTACAATAGCAAGCAAAAAGCTAAAATACCTAGGAATATAATTGATCAAGGAATTAAAAGCTCTCTACAAGAACTACAACTCTGATGAAATAAACCATAGAGGATACAAACAAATGGAAAAACATCCCATGCTCATGGTTTGAAAGAATCAACATTGTTAAAATGACCATATTACCCAAATTAGTCTACAGAGTCAATGCAATCGCTATTAAAATACCAACAAAATTTTTCACAGAATTAGAAAAAAACCCCTAAAATTCATATGGAACCAAAAAGAGCCAGAACAGCCAAAGCAATCCTAAGCAAAAAAACAAAAAACACCAAAGCTGGAGACATTACATTATCTGACTTCAAATTATACTACAAGGTTGTAGAATCCACAACAGCATGGTACTGGTACAAGAGCAGACACATGAACTAACAGAACACAATAGAGAATCCAGAAATAAACCCAAATACCTACAACTGATCTTTGACAAAGCAGACAAAAACATACACCAGGGAAATAGTACCCTATTTAAGAAATGAATTGGATAGTTACATGCAGAAAAATAAAACTTGATCCCTATTTCTCACCATATACAAAAATTAATTCAAGATGGATTAAAAACTTAAATGTCAAACCTGAAACAATAAAAAGGCTAGAAGAAAACCTAGGAAAAACTCTCATAGACATTGGCCTAGGCAAATAATTTATGGCTAAAACCCCAAAACCAAATGCAATAAAAACAAAAATAAGTGAGACTTAACTAAAAAGCTTCTGCACAGCAAAAGAAATAATCAACAGAGTGAACAGGCAATCTACATAATAGGAGAATATATTTACAAACTATACACCTGACAAAGGACTAATACCCAGAATCTTTGTAAAGAACTCAAATTCGTAAGAAAAAAAGCAAGTGACCCCATTAAAAAATGGGAAGGCCGGGCTCGTTGGCTCAGCCTGTAATCCCAGCACTTTGGGAGGCCGAGGCGAGCAGACTGTCTGAGTCCACGGGTTCAAGACCAGCCCTGGCAATTTAGCGAGACCTCGTCTCTACAATAAAAATAAAAAATTAGGCTGGGCTCGGTTGACTCAGTCTCTAATCCCAGCACTTTGGGAGGCCAAAGCAAGTGAACTGCCTGAGCCCACAGGTTGGAGACCAGCCCAGGCAACTTGGTGAGACCTAGTCTCTACAACAAATAAATAAATAATTAGCTAGGTGTGGTAGCACGTGCCTGTAGTTCCAGCTACTTGGCAGAAGGCTGAGGTGGAAGGATCACCAGAGCCCAGCAGGGCAAAACTGGGGTGGCCGTGAGCGAGCCACTGCACTCCAGTCTGGGCAACAGAGTGAGACTCTGACTCAAAAAAAAAAAAAAAAAAAAAAATTAGCCAGGTGTGGTAGCATGCACCTTTAGTTCCAGCTACCCAGAAGGCTGAGGCGGAAGGATCACCAGAGCCCAGCGGGTTGACACTGGGGTGGCTGTGATATGCCACTGTCCTCCAGCCTGGGTGACAGAGAGAAACTCCAACCCCCCCCAAAAAATGTGGGCAAATGACATTAATAGACCTCTCAAAAGAAGATATACAAATGGCCAAAATATATTTAAAAATCCTCAATATCACTAATCAGGGAAACGCAGATTAAAACCACAATGAGATACCTTAACACCAGTCAGAATAGTCACTATTAACAAAAAGCAGTAAAAAGGAATCATTTATACAATTGTTGGTGGAAGTGCAAAGTAGTACAACCTCTATGGAAATCAGTATGGAGATTTCTCAAAGAACTAAAAGTAGATCTACCATTTGATCCAGGAATCCCACTACTAGGTATCTACCCAAAGAACAGAGGTTGTTATACAAAAAAGATACCTAAGCCGGGCTCGGTGGCTCAGCCTGTAATCCCGCGCCTTTGGGAGGCTGAGTGGATTGCCTGAGCCCGCGGGTTCGAGACCCACCTGGGCAGCGAGACCTCATCTCTACAATAAATCAAAAAATCAGTCGGGCACGGTAGCACATGCCTGTAATTCCAGCTACTTGGAAGGCTGAGGCAGAAGGATCGCCAGAGCCCAGCAGGTCGAGGCTGCGGTGGCCGGGAGCGGCCACTGCACTCCAGTCTGGGTGACAGAGTGAGACTCCAACTCAAAAAAAAAAAAAAAAAAAGACACCTGCACTTACATGTTCATCACAGCACAATTCACAATTGCAAAGATGTGGAATCAATCTAAATGCCATCAACTGATCAGTGGATAATGAAAATGTGACAGACAGACACCACACACACACACACACACACACACACACACACACACAGCATACTATTCAGTTGTCAAAAAGAATGAAATAATGTCTTTTGCAGCAACTTGGATGGAATTGGAGAACATTATCCTAAGTGAATTAATGCAGGAACAGAAAACCAAACACCACATGCTCTTACTTCTAAGTGGGAGCTAAGATGAGGATCTGCAAAGGCATGGAAAATGGTATAATGGATACGGAAGACTCAGAAGAGGGAGGGTGGGAAAGGTGGAGAGACAAAAAATAACCTATCAGGTACAATGTGCACAGGTGGGTGGTGGTGGGTACACTTAATCCCAAACTTCTTTGTCACTACACAATGTATCCACATAACCAAAAAGTATTTGTACCCCCTAAAACTATTGAAATAAAGAGAAAAAAATTAAAAATAAATGCAACATGTGATACTAGATTAGATCTGGATCAGAAAAAAGACATCAGGGAGACTAATTGATGAAATCTGAATGTGTAGATTAGATAACAGTATTATATGTCAGTTTCCTGATTAAAAAAGAATTATACTTTGGTTATGTAAAGTGTCGACATTTGGAAAATCTGGGTGAAGGGTATATGGACATTTTTTGTACTAGTTTTGCAACATTTTATAAATCTAAAATTAATTTAAAATGTTAAAAAAAATTTGTGGCAAGGTGCAAAAATTTGTGGCAAGGTGCTCACGCCTATAATCCCAGTTCCTTTGGAGGTTGAGACGAGAGGACTGCCTGAGTCCAGGGGTTCGAGATCAGCCTGGGACACTTGGCGAGATTTTATCTCTTCAACAAATCAAAATAATTAGCTGGGCATAGTGGCATGTGCCTATGGTTCCAGCTACTTGGAAGGCTGAGGCAGGAGGATTGCCTGAGCCCAGCAGGTCCAGGCTGCAGTGGCCAGGAGCATGCTACTGCACTCCAGCCTGGGGAGCAAAGTGAGACTCTAATTTAAAACAAAAAATTTTTGTGATACCCACTTTTAGCTGAATCAGACTATCAATCAACAGTTACATCGCCATCCTATGGGCATTTCTCTAACACTGCAACATGGCTCTCTCGCAGCTCTGGAGGAATCCACTTGCCTGAGATTATCATCAGCTCCCCCAACCACCACCAAGCTGTTCTCAGCCCGAATCTTCTCTCGGAAGTCCTCCATGGCTTCAGGGTGACACTGTAGGGAATTCTGACCAATGACAAAGAGGACTGGAGTCTTCATATCCAAGAGGGGATCATCCACATCCTAAAACAGGCAGAGGGTCTTAGAATCGGCCAGTTCATATTCATGAAGCACTGACCTGGAAATTCCACTCAGGAGAGTCAGCTGTGTAACTGCAGTCTCAACACCAGCTTGGACGAGGCATGCATGCCCTCATTCCCAATGCCAATGACCCAGCAAGCTTCACCCTGTTCTTACCCCTCTGGGGCCATCCACGGTGAGCAGAGGAAACCCAAGGCAGACAACGGCAGTGACATACTCCATCACCGAAACCTGTGAATAATGGCACAGTTTGTCTAAAGGTCAACTGACTTCACTGTATCTCAGCCTACCCAGTATCCAAGAGGGGTACAGACCCACCCACCAGTCCCTGGAGTCCTAACCTCCAGGAGCATCAGCCACGACGGCAGCAGCCAGAGCCAATGTCTCACAAAGTCAATTGAACACAAGGTGTGTCATTCCACAAGCAGCCACTACTTGGAGACCTGGGGCCTCAAGAGGACCCTAGCAGGTTGGCTGAACCACAGAATGGAAAATTCAATACTCCTACCCCGTCAGCCCTCTCAACAAGAGCCCTTCCACTCCACAAATAGTAAATACAATCAAGAGAACACAAATGTTGCCATTCTCCCTTATGGGAAGAAAATGTTTCTCTGTTGCACTTAATGGAAAGCTCCCAGATATACCAGATTTCTTGGGACAATCACTGACAGTTCCACCATCCTGGGGAGCAGGGACTATGGGGAGATGGCCTTCCTCCTCTGAGATATTATAATTGACTAGAGCACATGAAGAAGAATTGGAACTTTGGACATGTCAGAGACACTTATGCAAAATGACAGACATACAAATGTATGTAAAATACAAAAAAGGTTCCTTAATACCTTAGAAAGAGACTGAACATGAACACAACTTCAAATTCCAAAGTTAGTAATTTTTGCCCGCTAGAATTATTAGTTTTTTCAGGTGGGAGAATACTATGTACTTACGTTCAAAGAAAAAAAGGAGTATTTTTTTAGAGATAAATGCTGAAATATACATAAATAAAATGATAAATATTTAGAATTTTCTTCAAAATAATCTGGGGAAGAGAAAGTGAGCAGAAGTAAGATGAAACAATGCCAGCCAAGTTCATCACTGGTTTTGCTGGGTGAGGGCCGAAGGGGTTTATTATACTGTACTTGCTTTTGTTTCTGCTTAAAATTTCCCATAGTAAAGTTAAAAATAAGGTCTGTCTTCTAAAGTTTATAATGCAATTATATAGGTAAAGCATCTATCACAGTGCTTGAAACATCGTATAGGACTGAGTGGTAACTATCAGTAGCAACAGTATTCTATCCCAGACAACCTCCAATTTCTCAGTGACCTTCAAATAAGACAGAAATTACTCACGTGACAGGCCACCAAAGCTCCTGTGTTCCAGCCAATCAAGATAATGGGTTTGTGTGGGAAATGGTTGTGAATCTTTGTGGGTAGAGAGAGAAGACAGTAAGATAGGAGGCCAAAGATGGGTACAAAACAAGCCCAGAATGCTGGTAAGCCAAATGAACTAAAATAGGGGCACTCTCACCTCCAGCACTTTGCTTCTCACTGCCCCCATCATATGCTCAAGACACTGCAACACTCCTACCCCACTGCCATTGTTCAGCAGATGGGTGGCTACAGGAATGACCTGAGGAAAGAATTGGCATCCATGCCAGCAGAGATAAGCTTTAAGTAGTATCTCAATTTGCTTAACTTACCCTAAATACCTTTCAACCTTGGAATTCCAAATAACAGAAGGGTTAGAGTTAAGCAATCTGTACTGATACCCTCCTACATGTTCTCTTCAATCCTCCAAGACTGTATTCCCACCCAGAGGAGAGTTCTTCTCACCCCCACACATACCTTGCCTAAGCAGGAGAGCTGAGACTGCCAGAAGCGATGGCGGCGTGAGGTGGGAAACACGGAGCTGGAGGGGCCAGAGGAAGCGATGAGAATCAGAGGAGAACCAGGGAGTTTGCTCTAAGGAGAAAGAATTCCATCCAAAAACCAGTGAGTGGAAAGTTACTGGTTACAAGTAACCCGATACCTTTCTCTTCCTGACAATGTGCCTTTGCTTAAGAAATAGCATTACGCACTATACAAAACAATTTATTAATGAAAAAAGTTAAAGAAGTCATTTATCATCCTCTTGCCTTCTAAGGCTTAGGTCTTTAACATTTCATACGCCATAGTTAAGCCCTGAGCCATCCAACTTACTGGTTTGTTATGAGAAAGCACTCCCACAGCAGGGTCCCACGGCCTCTTCAGTAAGAGAGACAAGGCCTCAGCTCCTGCAGCTCCAGTCTTTGTGTTGGATGACACAAGCATCCGGTCAATCAAGGTTGGGATCTGGAAAGAAGGAAGAGTAAAGATGCTTGCAGCAAGAGGCAGGAGACCTTCACACCAGCAGCAATCAGGCAGGAGGTTACAAAGTCCCACTATGAGCTACAGACAGACTTCAACTGAGCTTCTCAAACCTTCCCCAGGAGCAAAAGCACAAATAAATGGATGGTTGAAAAGTATGCTCCTACCATGAAAGGTAAATGGGTACAATTCTTTGAAAAACAACCTGCTAAAAAATTAGCTGGGCATGGTGGCGGCGCATGCCTATAGTTCTAGCTACTTGGAAGGCTGAAGGCAGAAGGATCACCTGAACCCAGCAGGTAGTGGCTGTGGTGGCTGTGACTGCATGAGTGTGCCACTACACTCCAGCCTAGGTGACAGAGTGAGACTCCAACTCAAAAAAAAACAGAAAAACAATCTGCTGATATGTACCATGTATGAAGGAACTTAAATGTATTCCTATTCCTTTTCCAAACGATTCTACTTCTGAGGACCTTCCCTAAGAAAATATATCAGAAAGAGAGAGAGAGAGAGAGAGAGAGAGAGAGAGAGAGAGAGAGAGAGAGAGAGAGAGAGAGAGAGATTCACTATCAATAATAATAAAAAGGTAAAAACTTAAATGTATGTATAGGGGAGTGATTAAGTCAATTATCCACCTAGTTGGATATTAAGGATTACTTTTTTTTTTTTTTTTTGAGTTGGAGTCTCACTCTGTTGCCCAGACTGGAGTGCAGTGGCCACTCCTGGCCACCGCAGCCTCAAACTGCTGGGCTCCGGCGATCCTTCTGCCTCACCCTTCCAAGTAGCCAGAATTACAGGCATGCGCTACCACGCCCGGCTGATTTTTTGATTTATTGTAGAGATGAGGTCTCGCTGCCCGGGTGGGTCTCGAACCCGCGGGCTCAGGCAATCCACTCACCTCAGCCTCCCAAAGGTGCGGGATTATAGGCTGAGCCACTGAACCTGGCTTTAAGGATTACTTTTAAATATTTACAAGAATTTGAAATAATGCACCGAAGTAATTTTGCTACAATGTTACAGATAAAATAGAAAAAATATAAAAATTATCTCTATTCCAGAAAAGACTATAAGTTTCCATAAGAACCAAGATAACTGGGTTCAGGGAGCTTCCAGACAGCCGCACACAAGATTCCTGGAGGATGGCGCACCCAAGGAAGGCATGGAGGCAACATGTCCCTTTCCTCATACTTCACCCTACACATCTCTCCAACTGTATCCTTTGTAATGCCCTTTATAATAACCAGTAAATGTGTTTCTCTGAGTTCTGTAAGCTACACCAATAAATTAATCTAACTCAAGGAGGACATCATGGGAATGTCAACTTGAAGCTGGTTTATCAGAAGTTCCAAAGGTTCAGACTTGCAACTGGTGTCTGAGACGTGGTAGTTTGGGGACTGAGCACAGAACCTATGGGACTTAACATTATCTCCATGTAAAGAGCATCAGAATTAAATTGGAGGACACTCAGTTTGTGTCTGCTGCAGAACTGACTGCTCGCTTAGTGGTAGGGAAAACCCACTACCACATTTGGTCACAGAAGTATTCTTCTGTGTTGATGAATGTTGTGGTATGAGAGCAGAGGAAAAAATGGTTTGAGGGTTCTTTTGGCTTTTGGTTTTTTTTGTTTTTAAATTTTTTAAGACTGAGATGAACGGAAGTCAGAGCTGAGCAGGTTGACACTAGGGTGGCAGTTAGCATGCCCCTGCGCTCCAACCTGGGCGACAGAGTGAGACTCCCAATCAAAAAAAAAAACCAAAAAACCAAAGTGCCTTGAAACTCACTTTCTGTCAAGAAATAATAATCAATAACTGACTTTTCTACTTGGAGCTAGGAAAACTGAGCTTCCCTGGCCTTTCCAGCACTGCATTCACTCTCAACGACCAATTAAAAGGCTACAGTCTGTAGCTCTTTTCCCTCTTTACTATAATGGATCTTACGGTGGAAGCAGCTGGGTGAAGAGCATGATCCCATCCACCTGTGTTTTAACATCTAGCACGTACTTCAAAAGTAAAAGAATCCCCTAATAATTTATATCCTTTGGGAAACAAAGCATTTGTTGTGAATCTAAACATAGTCATGAGAAAATAAGAGTCTGATGGTGGAAAAACCACTGTAGAGAGCATAGCCCAGAGTGGACAGCACCTTGAGTCTGAGGCCCTTGCTGACTGGGGTACTACGGAGCCTTCCACCAGTCCAGCTAACCCACACTACGACCAGCAGCATCCAAGTATGCCTACCTATGGAGTCCCCCAAGTAGTCTGTCACGCTTATAATATCTAAATGCCACCTCATTCATACAGGATATGACCAGCCAGTAACTTAAATGGGGAAGCAGTACAAACTCTTCCTTACAAGGGAAATTCTATCCAAATCATGCTGGCCATAGTGAGTGAAGCCGAACCACCAGAGAACTGAGACTCTAGGAGATACTAACATTCATCCGCTTGAGTATATTCACCAAAGCTGCACTTTTACTACAGGGAGAATGCTGTGGAAAGCACACCTGAAAATGCTTATTATACTCATGGATCACAACTCTTTGCCAGGGTCTTGTCTGGGTTCCATTATCCACCTGCTCACCATTTACCTTTGGTGGGTTTCTATCACAAAGGACTAGTACAGGAGGAAGTATGAGACTCTTCATTTGTCTCTTTCGTCACTAGAAAATAAGCCCACAAGAGCAGGGAGCAAGTCTGTTTCGTTTTGTTTTGTTTTGAGTTGGAGTCTCACTCTGTCGCCCAGACTGGAGTGCAGTGGCCGCTCCCAGCCACCGCAACTTCGACCTGCTGGGCTCCGGCAATCCTTCCACCTCAGCCTTCCAAGTAGCCGGAATTACAGGCATGCACGTGGTAACGCCCGGCTGATTTTTTGATTTATTGTAGAGATGAGGTCTCGCTGCCCAGGTGGGTCTTGAACCCGCGGGCTCAGGCAATCCACTCACCCCAGCCTCCCAAAGGCACGGGATTACAGGCTGAGCCACCGAGCCCAGCTGGGGAGCAAGTCTGTTATGCTCACCCCAGTGCCCGGCACATTGTAGGCGCCCCCAAAATATTAGTTAAATGATACAATTAATGTTAAATCTGCTACTATGCATATCATTAATGTATCCAGTCCTGAGTTCTGTTTTATTTCAGCACTAAGCTAGTCTTTAAAAAGCTTAGCATCCTTCAAATTAAAAGCTGGTAAGAAACAATGAGTCTGAAAGTTTTTGGATATGACTGGGGAAGCCATTAGCCACACAACTTGTAGTAGCAAGCCAGCTTCCTGCAAAGAAGAAAAACTATTTTTTAAAAAGTCCAAAGTGACTCAGTCTAAGTTGTCTGAGGCCATTTTGTATTGTAGCAAACCACTCCAAATATTTCAAAAACCTATGAAGGTATCACTTAAATAGTCACTAACAGTTACTTTGGGCTATGGGTCCAATTTTGTGCCAAGCACTCTACCTGAATTAACTTATTTAATTTTCAAAAAAAATTCTAGATAGGTATCATTATTAGCCACATTTTAGATTTGAGGAAATTGAGACACTAGTCCTAGCTTATGCAGCTAATCAGTGAGAGACCTGAGATCACCAAGGCAATCTGCCTCCAGGACCCACATTCTACCTCATTGAGTACAGCCCAGTGCAATCACTAAAATAATAAACTAGAATCACCAAGAAAAATAGTTTAACTTTGTGCAATACTGTCTGCATAAGAAAGCAGGGGAAATGTATAATGATACGCTTGTAACAAATTCTTAAAGTCCAAGTTTGCAGTTGAAGGTTCATTCCAGGATGAGGCGAGCCAGAGGCATCATGCACTTTGCTCCTCTGTAATCTCCCAGCACTCTGAGCACCACAGGTCTGCTTTTTACACCATTCTCAACGAACTCCTTTGGCAAACCTTCAACTCCCATGATAACTGAATTCAGTGATGACTCAAACCACAAGCCACAAGGCTACAGAGGCTAAATATGTACTCTGGTTTTCAGGCCCTACACCTCATCCTGGAAATAGCAGGGCTGTTTTCACCAGACACAAATGTGAAATGATACCCTGTCTCCTATTTTTAACAACAAACCCATTAGCCTCACCCATGCCCTCCAGGTTGTCTAGGTAATAACCCTGCCCAACCCCACGGCCTGAATGCACAGCAGAGACTGGCTACCCCCAGAACAAGGAAGAGAATCACAGACTTACCTTCCCTTTCAGTGTCTGCAAGGCATCTAGATACGCTGCCAGCATGGGCAGACTCAAGGTCTCCACGAGGGTGGTGTGCAGCCACTGGATCAGCTTGGTGTCCCAACTCACACTTGCCAGAGCCTGTCGCACTCTCCTTGCACACTTGTCCACGGCAACACGGCGCAGCACTGGCTCATTACAAGCCTGAAGGATGTAAGTGGAAGTGATAAAACATGAGGACCACCTGGTTAGCAAATGGGGGAGACAAGTCAGTCAGCCAGTGAGGCCTGAACTAGGAAGAGCCCACCGTGGGCAGATTTCTGGTGTCTTACCCCTTCATTGGCCAAGCGGGCAAGCCGGTCAGATTGCAGGGCTTTGAGGATCTTGTTGAATAGCTTGTTCTGGGCCATTGTCCAGCCAGTCCTATAAGGGAAACTCTGAGGAATTATAGTCAAACTCTGGCGACACTCCCCATGTATATACACCATAGAAAAAAGATTATGCAATGTTTTTTTCCCACTATGAAAGAGTATAACTTAAAGTAGCTTAATCTAAGAGCACTGAACTAAAACACAAGAGACCTAGATTTTGGTCCCAATCCCACCAAAGAATCACCTCAACTCACATTTGTATTAATAATATACTCCAAGTCAAGACCAGTAATGAATAAAGTATTTTAGGCTGCCAAAGCTAACAATTTACTTAGCAGCTAAAATAATCCCATTAATAAGTAAAAGCATGTCATGCACTGCAAAGATATTTAAATTTCAAAAATGTTATATTTCACACAAAAAGTATCAGCAAGCATTTTATGTACTAAAATCTCAGACTACAAAAAGAGGTCTATTTAAACTAGTCTAAAGAACAAAAATACAGCAGAAATATAAAGTGGCTATTCTCCCACTTCACAATATTCCACCCTACACTTAATCTCTCTCCCTTTTCCACATACATTGTTTGTCTTTTTTCTGCATATCACACAATTAGAAACTTTATTTTGGAGTGACCTGCTCCAGGTAAGCTAACATTATCACAGCTATAGCACTGGCACTCACACATCTACCTTGCTATGCATTTGTATGTGTCCTACCACTCAGTAGCACACTCCCTGCAATTAGAAATCTATCCTACTGTTCTCATCCCCCCATCACACCCAGCACAGTGGTATGGAGCTTATTAACGTACCTTTTCACCCTCCTCCTGGCGATCTTAATTACTCTGATGCTCTAAGTCTGGTTAGTAACCTTTCTAAAGTTACTCAAAGGGAATAGAACATGCTTAATTAATATTTGCCTACTCTCCCTGCCATTTAAAAAAAAAGAAGCTGGTGATTACTTTTTTTTTTTTTTGAGTCGGAGTCTCACTCTGTCACCCAGGCTGGAGTACAGTGGCACACTGCCAGCCACCACAGCCTCGACCTGCTGGGCTCAGGCAATCCTTCTGCCTCAGCCTTCCAAGTAGCTGGAAACACAGGCATGTGCTACCACATCCGGCTAATTTTTTTTTTTATTTATTGTAAAAATGAGGTCTCGCCAAGTTGCCCAGACTGGTCTCCAAATCATGGGCTCAGGCAACCTCCCACCTCAGTCTCCTAAAGTGCTGGGATTATAGGCGTGGGCCACCGCGCCTGGCAAATTACTTTTTAAGATTTAAGTGAATGCTAGACCCAAATGAAACCCTGGAATGATATGGAGGTACTATTTCAAGTCAGTCACTAAGTAGGGCTGACTAGCCAACTGGAAAATGAATCACACATCATGTGGAAAACACATCACTCTTTATATCAAAATAAATTTTAGATGGAATAAAAAGTTAAATATTAAAAAGTAAAACTATTGGTCAGGTGTGATGGCTCACACGTATAATCCCAGAGCTTTGGGAGGCTAAGGCAGGAGGATCACTTGAGGTTAGGTGTTTGAGACCAGCCTGGAGAGCACAGGAAGACCTCATCTTAAAAAAAAAATTTTTTTTTTATAATTAGTCAGCTGTGTGATACACGCCAGTAGTCCTAGCTACTCAGGAAGCTGAGACAGGAGGAGTGCTTGAGGCTGCAGTGAGCTATGATTGCACCACTATGGGCAACAAAGCAAGACCCTGTGGTGATGGTTTTTGGGGGGAGACTCTAAAAGTTCTAGAGAAAAATAGCGATTTTTAAGAGAATTTCTAAATAGTGATATCTTGAAATGAGTAAAGCTTTTCTAAGGATGACTGCAAACCTAGAAATCATAAAAGGAAGAGAGAAATGTAACTACACAAAAATTTTGGGAAAAAAGTATCACAAAGTCAAACACAACGGTAAATTAATTGCCATTTTATTAAAATAAATAGAAATAGGCTCTAGAAAATTAATGAAAGCAGGGCGCAGTGGCTCACGCCTGTAATCCCAGCACTTTGGGAGGTAGATACAAAAAGTTTGCCGGAACCCAGGGGTTCGAGACCAGCCTGAGCAACACAGTGAGACCTCATCTCTATAATAAATCAAAAAGTTAGCCAGACATGGTTAGTATGCACCTGTATTTCCAGCTACTTGGAAGGCTGAAGCAGAAGGACCCCCTGAGTATTTATGTAGTGTATCTTTTATTGCTATTTATAAACAGTTGCAGTGAACACCCTTCCTTTCTCCACACACACACACACACACACACACACACACACACACACACACACATACACACACATCTATATCTTTATATACTCATGTAAGTATTTCTGTAGTATAATTATAGTAAAAATGAAAAAATCAAAGCCTGTGTCAAAATTTCTGATTTTCTAATTCTGTGAAAATAATAGAATAAAGAATCTGTAGCATCTTGAAAGTGGCATTGCACTACAGCATCATCTCCAGCAATAATGCTCATTTATAATCAACCAGGTTAAACAATAAATACAATTTCTTCACTTTCAAAAACCTCTGGAGCTTTCTGAAAGCCTATTGATTACATTGCAAACTTCAATTCCAGGAACACAGAATAAGGCATAATTTATTTGTGAGACACTAAGAGCATTTCCAAAATTATCCTGTTCTACAACAGGATGTTTCCCTATTTGTTTTTCTTACTCTATATTTATTCTGAAACCCAAAATGATGGGAGCAAGTAAAATGATGTGAACAAAAGGGGAGGCAGGCTAGAAAGCTATATTCAGCAAAGACAACTGAAATTAAACACACACACACACACACACACACACACACACACACACACACAATGCTGAGTCTAAAATCCCAGAAAAAGTTCTCAGGATTGTTGCTGGATATATAACAAAGTAATTCCAAGAATTGAAACATATTCTCTGTATTTTGTCAGCTTCGTGGGAGGCTGGAAAATTAAGTGAGCAGAAAAAAATGATCTAACCCAAGATTAAGATAAAGAGCATGCAAGAGATATAATTAAAGAAAATTTTAAAAACAGGAGGCAGAATTGTAAACACAAGTCTAAACAGTCAAAGAGCTGATGGGAACTGTGGTGAGTCAACTGCCCCACTTCCCAGCCTATTCAATTTTCATGAGAGTAAAAATGCCTTTTCTTTATTTCTTAGATGAGATCAGAGAATCTTTTGTTCATGCTCTGGCCAGACCTACATAATATGCTGACCTCTAGCTTGTAATCAAAGCACCCAAAATATCATACGGGTCCTAGAAATATCTGATATGGTTTCATAGAAGACTAACTCAACATTAAAATGTTTAAAGGATTTTTTTTTTTAACCAGAAGTCAGATAAGGAGAGACAAAGAACATTAGAGAAACTCAATAGGTCACACTTTTCTTTTTCACATCATGGAATTCTTTGCCTCAACATGAGAAAGGAAAGAATAAAGGAAGGAATGAAGGGAGGAAGGGGAATGGGTGGGTAGGTGAGAGAAAATAACTCAAAAATCTTAGACTTAAGAGATTTCAAACACCCAACCTAAAATTAACATAAAGATACATATAATATGAAATATATAATTAGACAAAGTTCAGAAAAGGAGAGTGGATTTTTTTGGCCGGAATTCAGAAGTTCAGATTTCTAAGATAAGACAGTCTGCTTTTGGACATTACATTCTTTCACTGAAATGTTGGAAATCCATTTCAGCAATGCTGAGAAGTATCATGTGTCAAAAGTATTTTGTTAAATGTCTTCCAAATGCCATGCATCTAATGAAACTTGGCATTTAACAAGCATCTGAAGGGGGGAAAAAATAAAGGTCGGTCCAACATCTTCAGGACTACATTACAATGCCAGCAAATATAAATCATTTTCAAAGGTCCTCTTAAGTCACACAACCATGGCACAAAGACTCAAGAACATGATCCAGAGTTGGTCAACTAACTACTTTTGTAAAAGGATGGATAGTAAATACTTTAGAGTTTGCGAGCCATATGGTCTCTGCCACAACTATTCAACTCTGCGGTTATATTACAAAAGTAACCATAGTTAATACACAATGACTAGGCATGACTATATTCCAATAAAACTTTATTTATGGACACCGAAATCTGAATCTCATGTGTCATGAAATATTCTTCTTTCAGTTTTTTTTTCCTTTGCAGCCACTTAAAAACAAAAGCCATTCAATACAAAAACAAGCAATAAATAGGCCAGACTTGGCCCACTGGTCATAGTTAGATAACCCCTGATCTAGGCAATTAAATCAAGCAGAGATATTTAAACCATTTCACAAAATATCAGTCATTACTAGAGAAAACCAATCAGGTGGGAAGGTTTCACTTTTCTATACACGAAGTTATCAGAAGGCAGTTTCTATTGAAATAATTTAAGAGGTGGGGAAAAGTCTAACAAGGAAATTAACCATAAAGAACAATCAGTAAGGTCTCCGAGGAAAAACTCCAGAGGTCTAGGAAACAGTCCTATAGTCCATGGAGTTCTCCATTTGGCAAACTAATTTTACATGAGTTTTATATAAGAAGAAAGGAAACAGTAATTTAATAATCAAGTCAAGGGAAGAATGGCAGAGAACCACAAGCTCCAAACAGGCTACAGATTCAGGGGCAAGGTCATAAAACGACCTCTGAAAATGAAACTAGTAAGTATCATCAAAAAATAAAACAAGGCAGGTGCAGTGGCTCACGCCTGTAATCCCAATACTTTGGAAGTCCGAGGCAAGAGAAGCCCAGGAGTTTGAAACCAGCCTAGGCAACATAGCAAGACTTCATCTCTAAATAAAAAAATTAGCCAGGCATGGTGGCACAAGCCTGTAGTCCCAGGAGGCTGAGGCTGCAGTGAGTCATGATCATGCCACTGCACTCCAGCCTGAGTAACAGAATGAGACCCTGACTCAAAATAATAATGTTGATGAAATTAGCTGTGCACAAGCCTGTAATCTGAACACTTTGGGAGACCGAGGCAAGAGGATTGCCTGAGCCCACAGGTTCAAGATCAGCCTGGCCAACATAGTGAGACCTAGTCTCTACAATAAAAATCAAAACATTAGCCAGGCGTGGTAGCACGTGCCTGTAGTTCTGGCTACTTGGAAGGCTGAGGCAAAGGATTGCGGGAGACGAGCAGGTCGACACTGGGGCGGGTGGCTATGAGCGTGCCACTGCACTCCAGCCTGAATGACGGAGTAAGATTCCAACTCAATAAAAAAAAAAAAAAGAAAGAAAATTAGCTGTGCACAAAAGTTACCTATCTAAAGAAAGAGGTGATTTATAAGCCTGTTGCTAATGAGAAGGATGCCTCAAAAATCTCGTGAGACACTAAAAAATAAATAATCTGAGCTCTAATGAAACATATTAATCTATGTCAACATCATGACAGAAGAATGGAGGTCCACATAGAAAGTGAAGAAAGACAAATAATGTATCAGTGTTTCTCTAAAGGACTGGGCAGAAGGGGCACCCTGGTCTACTCTGTAGACCCATCTTGCCTAGGGGCAAGATGCATGCATCTAGCTATTCTGCTGTGCTCTCCACTCACCTATACACTTCTGGTTTCTCAGATTTTCCTACCGAGAATGGACACTCTGGCCAGGTCACCCCAGTGTCTCTTATGCTTTGCAGTTGTATCTCTCCTTACAAATTAAGAAGCTGGTATCCATATGTCTCTAATAACTTTGATAAGTATGAACAGTCTTCAGGAATCTCTTAATCATAACCATAGATGCATTAACTCAAAAAACATCACCGTCCGCCCATGAGCTTTCTGATACTGTAAACTGAGGATGAGGCGGTGAAAAATACCAAAAAGGGCCGGGCTCGGTGACTCAGCCTGTAATCCTGCGCTTTGGGAGGCTGAGATGAGTGGATTGCCTGAGCTCGCGGGTTCGAGACCCGCCTGGGCAACTTGGCAAGACCTCATCTCTACAATAAATCAAAAACTAGCCAGGCGTGGTAGCGCGCGCCTGTAGTTCCAGCTACCTGGAAGGCTGAGACGGAAGGATCGCTGGAGCCCAGCAGGTCGAGGCTGCGGTGGCCGGAGCGGCCGCTGCACTCCAGTCTGGGCAACAGTGAGATTCCAACTCGAAAAAAAAAAAAAAAAGAAAAATACCACAAAGGGACACACATTCATATGAGGTCACCTTGGTCTACCACTAACTGGTCTTACTCTCGTTTTACCGTCATTAAAGCAGAGGGTATGACAGTCAAAACACTGAGCTCCGGAGTCAGACTGTTTGAACAAACTTCTCCTCTATCACTTCCTAAGGTTTCCTAAACTACCTGATTTCAGTTTCTTCACGTTGTAAGACAGAGACGAAGGGGAGATATACCTACAAGAGTTATTGGGAGTATTAAAAGAAAATGTGTTTGGAGTGCTTGGTACAACGTCTGGCACCTAGAAAGCACTCAACAGATGGTGTTCTTTTTTGTTACTACTATTGTTATTATTTATTATTATTATTTTTTAAAGAGACAGGGTTTCACTCTGTCACCCAGCCTAGAGTGCAATCATAATTCACTATAACCTCAAACTCCTGGGCTCAAGTGATCCTCCTGCCTTAGCCTCCTGAGTTGCCAGCACTACAAGTATACATGACCACATCTAGCTATTTTTAAAAATTTTTTTGTAGAGACTGGTTCTCACTATATTGTCCAGCCTGGTTTTAAACTCCTGGCCTCAAATGATCCTCCTATCTTGACCTCCCAAAGGGCTGTGATTACAGGCATGAGCCACCATGCCTGGACTATTTTTTGTTATTAACTGTAACAATGGTGGTTAAACTATTTTGCTGAACACACTGGTTGTAGCAATATTCCACTTCACTCACAGCAGACTTCCTCTTTATCTGAAGCTCTAAAGAGCTTCTTAAGGCATTACATTAATTCCAATTCAAGGCTCCAACCAACTTCTTCACAAGTTTTTCAACCAAGGTGCAGAACTGTTCCTCCTTCAACAGCTACTGTCTTGACCACACAAGCATACTTGCTCAATTTCATTCCCAATTTCCAACTGGCCTCATAAATCATGCCAAGCACTCAAACTTTCCTACCTCTTTCTACCTCTCTCTTTCATTACTATAAGAGTTCTCCAATATTATAGTAAGTTACCACTTATTAACTCCTGATGTAAACAGTAACGTTCTCTTATATCCAGTAGATATATAGATAGACAAATAGCCATCAGGAAAATACCCATTAAAACTACAATAAGATGACACTTTTACCTAATAGAATGGTTGTAACTTTTTAAAGTCAGGGTCTCACTCTGTTGCCCGGGCTGGACTTGCAGTGGTGTGATACCAGCTTACCATACCAGCTCACCACACCCTTGACTTCCTAGATTTAGGTGAAACTTCCACCTCAGTCTCCCAACTAGCTGGGACTACAGGCATGCACTTACCATGCCCAGCTGATTTATTTTGTTTTTTGGGGGGGGGGTTAGAATCAAAAAGTTGGTGGCACACACCTGTAGTTCCAGCTATATGGAAAGCTGAAGCAGAAGGATCACCTGAGCCCAGCAGGTTGAGGCTGCAGTGGCCGTAAGCATGCTACTGCACTCCAGTCTGGGCAAGACAAGAGAGACTCTAACTCAAAAAAAAGAAAAAGAAAAACAGTCTGGCAACTCCTCAATAGTTAAATACAGAGTTACCATATGATCCAGCAATCTACTCTTAGGCATATAGTTAAGAGAACTGAAAACAGATCCACACAAATGTATACAAATGTTCATAGCTGCATTATTCAAAATAGCCAAAAAGTAAAAACAATATAAATGTCCATTAACTGCTTAATGAATAAATGTGAACTATCCATACAGTGGAATACTATTTGGGAATAAAAGGGAATGAAGTACTGACACATGCTACAGAATGGAAGAACCCTGAAAACATGCTAAGTAAAAGAAGTCAGTCATAAAAGAGCGTAAATCGCATGACTCTATTTATACAAAATGTCAAAATTGGCAAATCTACAAAGACAAAAGGCAGATTGATGGTCCCCAGGAACTGGAGGGTTTGGGAGGAAATGAAGAGTGACTGTTAATGGGTACAGGATTTCTTTTTGGGATGATGAAAATGTTCATCAAATTCATAGTGGTCATGGGTACACGACTCTGAATATACTAAAAACCACTGACTGTACACATTAAATAGGTGAAATGTATGGTATGTAAATAATATCTCCACCAAGCTGTTATGTGATTAGATAAATATTTACCAAATGAACAGGGACTTGGAGATAAGTGCTAAGTCTCCTGGCAGCAGTAGGAAACTTGGGGGAAAAACTACCCAGCAAACTCATGAAAACGGGCTTAAGTGTGTCCTCAGAACCACAGAATGCATTTATTTTAAAAAGCCACTCAAACATCTGTTAGCCTTTTATGTGACTCCAAAACATTTTCATTATCCGGGTTATAGACCTTATGAACACAACTATCTTACAAACGTACATTTAGGCCAGGCTCGGTGGCTCAGCCTGTAATCCCGTGCTTTGGGAGGCTGAGGTGAGTGAATTGCCTGAGCCTGTGGGTTCAAGACCCGACTGGGCAACTTGGCGAGACCTCATCTTCACAATAAATCAAAAATTAGCCAGGCATGGTAACACGTGCCTGTAATTCCGGCTATTCAGAAGGCTGAGGCAGAAGGATCACCGGAGCCCAGCAGGTCGAGGCTGTGGTGGCCGGGGAGCGGCTACTACACTCCAGTCTGGGCGATAGAGTGAGACTCCGACTCAAAAAAACCCAAAAAAACCAAATGTACATTTAATTTTCTTGTAGTCTGGTGACCCCTTATATCATACATAACTTGTACTATATAAGCTACAAAGCTGGTCATACCTAACAAATGTTAATTCATTTATTTACTCAACAAATATTTACTATATGCCTACTGTGTGTCAAGCAATGTCCTAGTGTCAAGGATGCAAAGATGCTGACATGCAAGACCTGCTCTCAAGGAGCTCACCGCATAGTAAACTGAGAGCTGTAATGTGAGAGGAGAACAATCTGATGTGTGTGGCTGCAAATGAAACAAACTCCGAATAAATGTGCTTTACTGAATTGAGATGATGATATAAAATAATTATAGAACAATGACCATTAACCCTGCAATGAGCCATCCTCCTAAGGAGCAGCCTACCTGTTGACATGCTCCTCCCAGTCCTCTGGTGGGGGAGGGGCATCTGCATCCGTCCTGGCAAAGATGACATGCCGTTCACACTCATTCATCACGCTGCGTGCCTTCTGATTGTCATAGAGCGGCACAGGGGTTGATGTGACTGTCTCCACGTCTATTGGGACATCTGATTCACTGTAAACAGGTGAAGAAATAGGACCAGGCCACACATTCTTCCCAAAACACTGGTGTTTAACAATCATCTGGTTGCCAAAAAAACTCTTTCATATAAGTTGGCTTGAAATTATGCATAAGTACATTATATTCACAAGAAAATTTTGACCCAAAGTCATCTTTTCTACACTTGTCTAGATCTCTACCCTCTCTGACATGCTGTATATGCTAGAGGAACACAAAGTCATTTTAAAATGAGTCTATACAAAAAATGACAAACAGCAGTTTTTTTAAAGACAAGTATATTCCATAAGCAAATAGTTGACTCCCTAAATACAGTGTCCAATACAGTAGCTATAAGCCACACATTAATTAATTAACATACAGTAGCTATAAGCCACTACTTAAATAAATGTAACACTTTACATTCGGATGTCCTCTCTGAAGGGGCTTTGCAAATCTAGCAAACCACTTGGATATCCCCCCTCAGGGGGACATAAAGAAATTGTTGGTGATTATACAGGACAAAGGTACACAAGCCCAAATTTTTCAAAGATGATGTTTCCTTGAAGTTTTCCATTCAAAAACAATGAAAAATCTACGTCCCACTTGAGATTTGTCAAGCTTCTGATCAAGCAGTTGAGAAGTGGTTTTCAGGAATTATAAGTATGTCCTCCCACATTACCTTCAAACAACAGCCTGGAGAATAAATTACATATTATTAATGTGGGAGGAAGAAAATGAGACTGCACTGTCTGCTCGAATAGAAAACACCATGTAGAAGATGTCAAACAAATTACTACTGCACATTTATCAATGAACTTGCAAGGCATGTCAGTGATGTTTCACACATCACCGCACGTTTGAAAGATATAAGATATAAAATTTTGATTTTTTTGGTCATAAATAAGTTCCTCAATGTCCAAAATTGCATTATAAGTCAAATATCATTATAATGCAATAACTGGTTTCAATACTATACTTTAATATGAAGTGATTCATTTTTCACTATTTTGTAAAAAAATGCAATCAAGTTGTTAGTTGGTGATCTGTGAGATATCTAAAAATCAAAATTGTATATCTTATATTTTTCTAATGTATGATAATGTGTGAAATAGTCACCAATATACATTGCAGATTCATTAATACATGCTGTGCAACAGTAATCTGACGTCTTCCACTTGGTGTTTTTCTATTTGAGGAAACAATGTAGTTTCTTTTCTTTCTCCCACATTAATAGTAATTTATTGTCCACTCTGCTGTTCAAAGATGTGGAAAGATGTACATCTCATTTGAATGGAAAACTTTAAGGAAACATACAGTTTTGAAAAATCACACTTGCATAAGTTTGTCCTGTATAATCAATCACCAGCAATGTCATTTTTTTTTTTTTTTTTTGAGTTGGACTCTCACTCTGTTGCCCAAGCAGGAGTGCAATGGCACACTCACGGCCACCATAGCCTTGACCTGCTGGGCTCAGACAATCCTTCCACCTCAGCCTTTCAAGTAGCTAGAACTACAGGCATGCACCATCATACCCGGCTAATTTTTTTAATTTATTGTAGAGAGGAAGTCTCACCAAGTTGCTCAGGCTGGTCTCAAACCCGTGGGCTCAGGCAATCCTCTCACCTCAGCCTCCCAAAGTGGTGGGATCATTGGCATGAGCCACTGTGCTCAGACGCCAGCAATGTCTTCATGTCCCCTGAGAGGGGACATTCGAGTGGTTTGCTAGATTTACAATGTACCCAGAGAGGGGACATCCAAGTGCAAGGGGCTAAACATTCAGTTCTTTAGTCATATTAGCTACGTTTCAAGTGTTCAACAGATATATGCAGCTGCCAGCTATGTACTGAACACCCCAGGTACAGAACATTTCTATTATTGCAGAAAGTGCTGTTGAGCAGTACTGGTCTAGAGTTTTAAATTATTCATACAAACTTTCCCCTTTGCCTGCAAATCAACCGGTAATTAATAACAAGCTTATAAATCCTGTGGTTACATAAGACATATCACCTAGAATGCAGGTACTGTCACTATTTAACTCACTTTGTTCAGTCTAGAACATAAACAAATAAATGAACAATTGAAAGCTCTTTCATACTTTAAAATGATGTTAATGAAATCCTGGTGCCCTGAGGGTCCTTCCCTACATCATGGTATGTTGCATCAACTGTGTCACCCAAAACGCTATACCAAACTGGTCTACTGCCTATCTAGCAAACATCATGTTGACTTTTTGACCTCAACGATTTTACTACATCCATTCCAATGACTGGAATAATTACATCATTATGAAACAAAGTGAAATAATGTGCAGCTGGATTTGGTGGTGGGCAAAAGAGCTAATTATCTTCTCTAGACCAGACATTGGGTTAGGCACTTGGATATGTATTCCTAAAAGAGAACTCCTGATTTCACCATCCAAAACCTATCCTCCCAAGTCTTCCCTAACTTATGTCTCAAGTCAGAAATCTAAGAGTCATCCTAATTTTACCTCTCCCCTTAATTCTGGCTCCTCTTGCCAATTCACCATGGCAGGTCATCTATTTTTCTCCATTTGTACTGTTCCTGTGCCTATCCAAGCTATAATTTCTGCTCATCTCAGTCAACTACAATGGCCACCTAGCTGGTCTTCCAAATTCCACTCCTGCGTTATAATCTACTCAACAAAAATCCAAAGTGAAGGCTTTAAAATATAAATTGGATTTCTAGCTTAAAATCCTCCAGACTTCTTACTACTCTTAGAATCAAATTCCTACATTATATAGCTTCTGCCAACTTCTCCCTACCTCCCACTTATACCACTACTGTCACCCTATTTTGGTCACATTGGCCTAAAAGAGTTCTTAAAGCATGCTAAAATCTCATCTTCAAGGCCTATATATGGAGACAGAAATTACAAAAGGAAATAACTTTTTAAGTACCAAAAAAACCAACTGTACAAATTCTCTTTAAGAAAATGTCATGAGATATGGTCATAGTACTTTTTTTTCTTTTTTGAGTTGGAGTCTCACTCTGTCACCCAGACTGGAGGGCAGTGGCATGCTGCTCCTGGTCCCCGCAGCCTCGACCTGCTGGGCTCAGGTGATCCTTCCACCTCAGCCTTCCAAGTAGATAGAAATACAGGCATGCACCACCATGTCCGGCTAATTTTTTTATTTATTGTAGAGATGAGATCTCACCAAATTGCCAAGGCTGGTCTCGAACTCGTAGGCTCAGACAACCCATTCACCTTGGCCTCCCAAAGTGACACAGGACTTTCGATATCAGCAAGTTACATAGCAAAGAAAAGATTTCAAATACTATTTTAAAGGTCCTTTTCAGTTATGCCCTAAGACTGAGACACCAGGATTATGCCAGCTCATTCCCTAAAGTTGCAGATCCTGTGCCCTGCACAATCAAAAATGACAACAAAATGCTTACATCATTGGGAAATGAAATAAAAACCTGCTATTCTACAGTGTTTAAAACACATCCATCATAGTACCTGTAACTCATTAAAGCTCGTGGGGGGGATCTAAAGAAGCAAAATACAAGATCTCTAACCGGCTAGGCGCAGTGGCTCATGCCTACAATCCCAGCACTTTGGTAGGCATAGGCGAGGATTACCTGAGTCCAGGGGTTTGAGAGCAGCCCAGGCAACTTGGTGAGACCACATCTCTACCATAAATCAAAAATTAGCTGGGCGTGGTGGTGAACGCCTGTAGTTCCAGCTACTTAGAAGGTTGAGGCGCAAGGCTGAGGCTGCAGTAGCTGTGATTGTGTCACTGCACTCCAGCCCGGGCAACAGAGTGAGATGCCTATTCAAAAAAAAAAAAAAAAATTTCCAAATAGGTTTATTTAGGTCCATGTAACTGTATCATATATCAGGTAGTATAATAAGTTTATAAAACTTCCTTACCTACAATGTAAGCTGGCAAAAAATATAATTGGGCCTAAGAAGGGTCTAGATTATGTGGCAGTTCTGTAACAAAGAGAGAAAGCAAAGTCTTGGGAATTTGCTAATAATTATTGTGTGTGAAGCCAGGAAAACAAAAATACATTACCATAAAAAGGCTATTGTTGCCACTGTCAAGCTGACACTGGACTAAATGATAAGAAGTCTTATCCTGGATGGCAATTTTCAAAAATCAACTTTTCAATCGTTTTCTTCACCAGGTTAAATAATCCTCTTCGATTTCCTCTTTCCACACAAGTCCTATTATCTAAGTGCAATAGGTTGTTTGCTTTTCTTTGTGCTCCTCGCTTTCCTAACTCATTAGAGATCTCTTGTGCAGATGTCCATATTCTGGCCTGATATCCTTATGCTGCTTAACAGAGATGCCTGAAATAAACATCCAAGCTCCTCAAACAATCTCCCACAATCACCCCCAAGAAAATCCTCTCTAATCTCCAACTGATCACTGCCCAGTTCGAAGCCAAACTCACATGGTACTTTCATGCTGCCTCCGGGGAGTGACAAAGAGCATGCGGGTGGGGCGGGCACTACTGGCATCTGGATGGGCACTCCATGGCTTGGCATAGCTATGATCCAGGAAAACCAGGTCCAGTTCCCTTTCGTGCACTGAAAGCTGGAAGAGCAGCGAGGTGCCCATGCGACGAGCTGAAGTCTGGAAATCCCTCTCCCCACCCCGGTGGGCCATGTCAGTGGAGGGGCAGCAAGTCAAAGCATGAGTATCTGCATGCTCGTACCTGCAGGGAAAAGTTTCCATTTAAGTCACAATGTTCTAAACTTCTCACGACCTAGATCATCTAATTTGCTGACTTTGGTGATCTACTATCTTTCCTACTGAGTATCCATTACACAGCCGTGGGGAGGGTTCCTGAAATCCCACACCACCACCAACAGAAGGTCACGGTGCCATGGGCTCCTCCATACTCTACCTCTATCTCCACCTCGACAAAACTCGCTAGCCGGAAAGCTGACCCTCTCCAGGATTCACAAAGACCTCACGTCGCTGGGCAAACGCTACGCTTGCTGGGCCAACACCACAATTTCATAGGAGGGCGGGAAGGGCTTTGGCAAACAGGAATCTCAGAAGGGAATCCTTCCGAAGCTAAGGGTCTCTGTTGCTTTCCACCGTTCTCTAAAGAGAAGGCGACGGGGCGCTGTCCGCAGCTGGAGTCCGAGCACCCCAAAAAAGCCAGGCAATGCGGGCCTCAGGGAAGCCAATCCCAACAAGGGTTTCACTTCCCTCACGTCTTCCGTTTTATGGTAAACAAAGTCTTGCAACCAATTCATGATGTTCCCGAGTTTTTAAAATAGACGAATGAGACCCGAGAGCGCCCTTCCTCCCCCATCGCCCTGGCCGGAGGCGTCCCCGGCAAACCACCCAGCCCTCCAGGTACCCCCCAGGGGTTCCCGCCACCGAGCCCGGAACGGCCTGTCCGGGAGGCAGGGCTTACGACTGGCATTTGACAGGCGAAAAGCGATTGAAGGGACTTGGCCGAGGTCACCGACAGTTCGGACGAGGAGGAGCTGCCCGGCCCCCG